CCCAGCCTCGCGGCAACGTGTTTACACGGAACATCACAGTATAAGATACAGACTACACAGCAGACTCGGCCCCGTAAAGATGCCGAACCAAAAGATGACGTTCCCCAGCACCTTTCGATCCTTCATCCACCTCGTCCGGCTAAGTTGGACAAGCTATACGCAGTCAGCATCCATGTCATTTCAAGACGAGTAAATCATAATCAAGTAACTGGCAACGATGTGGAAAAATAGGGAAACATATCGAGGGCCCGGATTTGGACTTGCGACGACGTACCGGCAGTTGACACATTTGCAAGAACAGGAGATACCCCCTCAGCTTCTTGAACAGGCACCACATGACGAGCTCGTGGACGCAGGCGGAGAGGAAGAAGGTGATGAGGGTTGCCGTGTGGCGGTTTACTTTCATGGAGGAGATTGAGCTGTGGTAGACGTGACGGAGGAGGAAGTTGTGGACGGGGCTGCGTGGTATGTTAGTATTGGTTGACAAAGGATGCTGTATGGCACGTTGATGGAGGTTTTTGGGATGAAGTAGATGACGAGGGGCTTACCGGTTCCAGTCGCGGGCGAATTGGTCCCATGAGACTTTTATCATAGTAGTGAGTTGATGAGTTTCGACATACAGGGGGAGTAAACGTACCACTATTCCACCACGCGTCGTAGAAGCTTCTGTCGGCAAAGTAGGTGAGTTCTGCGAGGGTGTTGAGGACGGTCTCCCAGATGAGGTACCACGCCATCTTGCGTCTCTCGTTAGCTGTTTTGTCTCTCAAGGGAGACACGGTCTCATAGCTCACCATGTACTCCATCATAAAGGGAAAGATGAGATCGCTGAGCATCCAGGGGAAGTAGCGGAAGCGCTCGGCCAGGGGCATGCCCGCCTCCTTCATGGCGATGGTTTGCATCACGACGGGGTCTGGCGCGTGTTAGTAACGGAATGTCGCGCAGACCCGGCGACGAGTAAAGAATGATCAAAGAGTATTCAGAAGAAACGGAAACTCACAGATGAAAGCCTGCGACACCATAATCATGACGAGAATGATGCCAAACGTGGCGGCCGTCTTCTCGGCAACGTAGTACCAGTCAATCGACTCGGAACGCGGGTACTCCAGCTCGTACACGACCGTGGGGAGAACAATGTACTCGTAATGGTTCGCGGGTGAGAGGTTATTGGGGTACGCCCGGACGACGCTCGTCGCCTTGCCCCGCAGCTCGTCCGTGATGCCGTCAATCTCCCACCGGATGATGCGCTCAAAGACCCGGACTTGGTCTGCGTCGAGGGGCTGTCCGGACTCGATGGCGCGGGCGATACGGTCCAGGTCCGTCAGCTGGTGCTGCTCATCGCCGCCGCTGCCATCCCTTGCATGGGATTGGGACTGAGCCTGCGCCTGCGCCTGGGCGATGGACTGCCTTCGCCCGTGCATCTCGGCCGCGGAGGGCGGGTTGGCGAGGTGGGAGACGGAGACGGTGGAGGCCGAAGGGGTGGTGGACGAGGGGAACTCGGTAGGCGCGACGTGCTCCAGCTTCTTGAGCTTGGAGAGGAGGTACTTGCGCTTCTTGTAGGCGGACGAGAGGTATCCGTTGTAGAAGGCGTACGAGTGCTGCTTCATGAGCATGACGATGCCGTGCAGAACGAAGAAGACGGTATGCGTCCAGGGCCAGTCGCGGATCAGCGTCAGGCCTATAACGCCGCCGATGAAGGCCGACTGCCAGATCTGGTGGACAGTGAGAATCTGTCTACTCTGAAGGTAGGATGTTCATTCACTTACATTCTGGATAATCCAGCCTGACCTGTCCCAGTCAATGTAGCCGGCAAAGACCAGCCGCTGCAATACCCAGCTGACACCCGTGATGGCGCACAGAATGCCGTCGGAGGCAAGGAGCACGACGACGTCCCGACGGAACATGGTCTTCATGATCTCGTTTGTGCCCAAGGGGTTTCCCGTCGCCCGCCAGTTTGTGGCGGCGATCCTGGTGACGAAGAGCGCGACGGCCAGCCAAAAGAGCGTGTAGAAGCCATGAAAGGGGCTGTTGGCGGTGCTTGCGTTTTGCCGGTCAAACGTAGAGAATTGCCGTGTGAAGACGAGGTCGCTGAACTTGCCGGCCCGGCGTGGTCTCTTTGGGTCTTTTTCCTGTCATTGTGTTAGTTGGTCATTACATGTTATGCGCGAGCGACCTACCCTCTCCAGACCCCGTTTGAGAACATCCCGCAGCTCGCGGTCATCCGGAGACAACACATATGTCTTGAGACGACCGGAACCATCGCGGAGAGGCTCATCGTCGATGCTCGAGGTTTCTGACAGCGTCGAGCCGTCTAGTGAGAGCTTCCTCTCACGGTTTGAAGAGTTCTTCAGAGGTGATGCGCCAGGACGGACCGGCGCTCGTCTTTTGCGCGGCCTTGCCGATAGGTTCGGGTCATCGTAATCCTCTTCGCTTGGGCTCTCCGAAGGCGTTGCCGATGTTGCCCGGCCCGTAGCCCGTAATGCATCCCGGAGTGAACGGGGCTCTGGGGACGCGGCCAATGAGGTTGTCATTTTTGGCCCTCCTATGATGCGTGTCTTTGCACGGTCGGTATCCCGGAGGATGCTACTGCCAGATCATGTACAGAATCCGGCTCACTTGAGACGAAACAAGCGCGGTGTGGTGATGCTCTTCCAAGCGATGTCGTCTGGAGAGTATTAAGCAGAAGCTCAAACTCAAAAAGATTGACAAAAGTTAGCGACAACCGTCAATTGTTCGCTGGAAATCGTCAGGATGGAAATGTGAAAGATAGTTGTGTATATGAGTTGTCAGCGTCACGGTCCGAGGTCGATGTAACGACACAGCCGAGGACCCAAGAACCCGGAAGCCAGTCGACTCGCGCGACTGGGATGCGAGTACGAGCGACGGACGATACGGGCACAGAGGAGTCTTGATAATGACTCGGCACGAGTACGAGGCTACGAACTGTTTTCCCAAAAGCGGTTTGATGGAAAATGGGTGTCAAGCAAGCAAACAGATGGTAGTAGACTGAGAAGGGATGAAACAAGAAAACGAATAGACAACTGAGACGGATTGGCGGGCAATGATATAAGACCAGTTCCCCGCCAAGCGATGGATTCTACGGGTCTGCCGGACTCAGATGTCAGTCGTGGCGGATCGTAAACGCCTCTGCCGTGCTACTATTCCATGGCTGACACGGATGCGAGAGAGATTTGGAGTTGATCTGAGATTGTAGGACAAAGGCGTTGGCAGGAGGCTCAAGCTCGGCCGAGGTTCCCGGTGAGTTTCCCTGCAGTCATTGCCGACATGGCACCACAAATTTGCGGCTCGCGAGTGGTACGACGAGCAATAGGTCAGCCCGAGGATTGCGAGGTTTCCGCCGTTGGAGAGCTATAGTCTACCAATCCCGCTTGTCCCGCCCAAGCACGGGGAGCCGGGAACCTACAGTAGGAGGCGACATCATGTGGGTGGTGCATGTGGGCTCCGATGAAGTCAGGTAAAGTATAAAAATAAGATAGCCAGGAAAAGGAACAGAGAGAGTGCTTTGAGTGCCTAGCAGTGCGTGGGTAAAGACGGAATGAAATGGTGGTCTTCGCCATCCAGAGCACAGGCGACCCCAGTTGATGAGCTGTTCGTTTGACGAATGATAAGCCCGATCAAGGGGTTTTGGTGAATACCTAGGATCCCCATACTCCGTACAGTATCGCATAACACGTGAAAAGGGGAGAATAACTACCGGTAGATGATTGTATGGTAAGGTAAGACACCGGTCTACCCCGAATGTCTCTGATTGTTGCCTCGATTGTCTTGTTTTGCCAGGTAGATGCCGGAGAAGAAGGGACCGTCTTTTTATTCGGCCTCTGATGTCTTTGTGCAGATGGAATAGTAGAGTAGCAGGAATTGAGCGAGCAGGTGAGAGGAGTGTCTCCTAAGAGGGTATCTCGCATCCGAGTAGAAGACATGTACAGGTTGCCCAGGATCTGGAGTAGAAAGCGGGATGTACTCCGTCTTCTCTTTGGCGGTTCTCTGACGGGAAGCTGTCGCATCGTGTGGCCGGAAGCGGAGAGACAGGAACACATTCGCATCCGGGCACAGGCCGAGTTCCCCCGTCGGTGCGTTGTCTGGTGTTTTTGACCGGACGTTGGTAAATAGAAATATTCCGTAGATGTTTGTTACGTTGAATTCTCGGACTGCTATACGGAACTTTGGTGCAGGCAGGAGCTTCTGCAATTCTCGGTGAGCGTGTTTAGTCACCTTGGTCACCTTGGAATGTTTGCAAAATAGATTTCCTGTCCTGGTCTGCAATGACATCACTAGCACCCGAAGGGGCCGGGTGTACCTGACCTGTCTGGTTTTGGTTAGCTCAAGCAAGGTAAGGTACCTTCTCGGTTGCCTTCCATTAGGTTGCTTCTGAGGTGCTGCGGGTACTTGCTGAAACAGTGTCGCAGTGGGCGGGAGGCACCTGCCAGCTCAGCGCGTTTCGGCCTCCCCTGGCCCTCTGGAAGGAGCCACAGAGCAACTGACTGTCACTGACTAAGGTACCTGGAGCACTGGATGACTGGAAGGAAAGAGGCCCTAGCGGTGACTGTTCCATACAAAACACCCACCAAACACACTGGGTGCGGACCGCTTTACGTAAGCTTTTCCAGCCTCCGAGCACGGTGCCAGCAGAGCAACTGACGTCCTTCCACGTCGTTTTGAGGTGGACTGCTCCACCGGTACGTACCACCAAGCTCGTTTCCGTAAGGCACTCCGTACTCCATACGCCGTACGCCAAAATCTTTTTGTTGCGCCAGGGCCGATCCGAGCGACCTCTCATTTCCTCTACTCCTCCTCCTCCGACAACTTCCATCACCAAACCACCAACGCGCATCTTCTTCCACCTTCTCCCCCATCGCGAGGCTCTGCTCCATCAGAACCCCGTTCTTCGTTTCAATCTCCATCGCGAGACACACACTTCTCTCTTCTCTACCCTCACATTTCTTTCAGTCTCTTTCAGCCAAAAAGTCAGCATCACCAACATCATGTCGCGCGGTGGCCAAACCTTGTACGTGACTGGCTTCAGCCACGGCACTCGCGCCCGAGACCTCGCCTACGAATTCGAACGGTATGTCAACTGAATATCAGAAACTCCCACGTCGATGCCTCCGTCCGTCCTGTTTTCCTCCCGGCACGCGAGAGCCTTCCGAGATTTCCGATCATCTCTCCTTCCCTCGCTGCTCCCCGCCCACGCCTCCGTATTCGTCCTCCGCCCGTCCTCCCGCTCTCGCATTCGCTGCTCCCAACCTCACGCATCAACTCAAAGATGCCTCCCTCGCCCGTCCTACGTTTCCGTTCTCGTCCTCGCCCTCCGTTTCCCCGTCGATGCGTCCTGTCCTCGTTCGCTTGGGCTGCCTCCTCCCAACCCACCGCCCGTTGTCCGCGCCGCTGTGGCCTGCCAACGCTCCGTGGCACGCCGAACACAATACAGCTTCCTTCTGCTGCGCCGACGACGGCCGACGTTTGGTCTATATCGGAACAAACGGACAACCTCATGTATGTATCTACGTGCTGACGTTCTGACTCGAATATAGCTATGGACACCTTGTCCGATGCGACATCCCTGCTCCTCGCTCGGCATCCAGCAGACTGTGAGTTCACTCTCCTCTCGCCTATTCGGACAGATCCGAACAAAGACTGACACCATACCAGGTTTGCCTTCGTCGAGTACGAGGACCGTCGCGATGCTGACGATGCTTACCATGAGATGCACAACAAGCGCATCGGTCGCGACGACATCCTGAAGATTGAGGTAAGGCGCGGTACGAGACGCAGCTTTGCGGGACGTTTGCTGATACGCTACAGTGGGCTCGCACCCCTCCTTCCGCCTCATGGCGCTTCGACTCGGGTCGTGACCGTGAGCGCGCTCCTCGCCGCTCCTCTCCCCGTCGCGGCCGCTCGCCTTCTCCTCGTCGCAGCACCCGCGACTACTCTCCCAGAAAGGATGATCGCCGGGACCGCGACCGCGACTATGACTGTAGCGACAGACGCGACACCCGCGACCGTTCCCGCAGCCCTGACCGACGGTGTGTTGATTCTCCTAGATCTATCAAGAACTCCCCCAAAGAACCCCCCTCGGGCCAAGGGCCCCTCAGAAATGCCGAATTTGAACTAGTGATCCTGACTGGTCAGAAGTGATCGAGACGCCAAGGAAGACCGCGAAGACCGGGAACCCCGTGAGAACGGCACCAACGGTGACGATAGAAAGGGTACGTAAACCGGTGAGAAGGTGTGCGTTGGGCTGCATAGTAAGCTAACACTCGATAATAGCACTGGACAGCCCTCCCCCTGCCCATGACGACCTGGACGTTGCTGCGGAGTGATAAGTATACCTGGCAATTTCTCTTGTCGGGTTGTGCGCGGCTGTGCCAAAAGTTTTTCTGATTTCTCACCCGGTTCTCCTCTCTCTCTCACCATCTGAATCCTGGATCTGTAAAGTGTCCTCACCTTCTGGGAGATATTTAGTCTCGATGCGACCGATCCGGCTTCTTCGAGCTCAGCACACGACACCCCGGGCTGTCCGATGTTGGCAGCATTCGAGTCACCAGACATACCTATCCAGACTCGATATCGGCGGGACATACGTTTCGGAAACGAACGCGAAACGGCGCGAAATTATTGGCGAGGCGGTTTTTTGAAAGCATTACCCCCTAGTAGTTAGAAATTGACATGTAGGTTTTTACAGCAGCCTCCAGATGTGTCCCAATGGCTTGATTTGAAGCTATTTGACATGTTTGAGTCCCAAGTCGACTGGTCTTTGATTTGGTGATAGTCCGTCCATGGCCGTGATTCGTCCTGAGAATCGTGCAACCGTCCGCATCCATAGGTCAGGGATATCATCTAGAGCAACGTAGTAAAGTAGCCCGCATTTCCATGATTGCCAAAGCAAGTTCTGCGTTATTGATGCAATGCTCATAAAGGTGGCCAACCGTCTCTGCCTGTTCGGGGCTTTGAGGTTTGTCAACGGTGTGGAAACGCACAGCCAGTTGAAGCTATCCACACAAGGACGGTGAACTGCAATGTAGACACATACCCTGCGAGTTTAGGTAAGGGTTACCAAATCATTGGCCAAAGTTTTATGAGTGTAAAGCAATCCTGAGAAAACCGAGTTGCCACTACCTATATCCTACTGGCTATCTTGGTTACCTTTGTACTTAGGTAGTACATACCCTAGGTTGCTTTGCGATAGCGAGGCGCTTGTCATTTGCTTGCCAAACGTCAACACAGCAAAGAGAACGTTCCGTGATGCAATGCGGGGAAAGCTGGAGGAGGGCGGGGTGATCTCCGAAGACTAAGGCAGGTAGTTCGGTGTTGATAGGGAGGATCCGGAGGGTCGGGGTGCCGAAGGGAGGGTTTCTCGGCAAACTCGCGCTGATGTGACCCGGACGCCGCCGAGATGGATGAGGGGAGAGGATGGAGGTACTGCCGGACCTGGCTCTCGGGATTGGCGGGAGTTTGCTTGGGATACTTTGCCCAGGCAGGATTGGCGGTGTTGAACAATGTTTGGGCAGTTGGTGAATTGCAGCAACACGAATTCCTGGTTGAGCTGTGCCGATGGGATGTGGCCATACCTGCTATACCTATTATATTGTTATGAGTGCCAGAAGAGATATCATGAGTTCCGGATACCAGTACTCTCAATGTGGTCATGTGTCTTGCGAGCCTGTGGTTTTTTCGCATATCGAAGCTGGGTACCCCGTTTTCCCCCAGATTGTCGTCATGGGGGTGGAGTTCAAAGCGAGGAGAGCAGCAAGGCCGGAGAGCACTCCATCCACTCAGAGGAAGCAAGATTGTGATTTCATGAAGAGGAGAGAAAATCGTAAGCTGGAACTGAACTGTTCCAGTACCTGACATCATTTTCCGGTTTAATTCTGACGGGTGGTATCAGCGGATCAAGGGTACGCCGTGGTTGGTTTCCAATCTTCAGGTTACAAGAAACAGCAGGGACAGGTAGAGGTACCGGGCGTGAGGTACACATCCCGAGGTTCCTCACATATGGTGACCAACGGACACTTTCCGTGCCCAGAGCCGGCGGGTGAGCCACAGCCGCCGTGGCCCGTGGGGTCCCCTAAAGACTGCCCGCCCTGGGCTGATTGAAGTGCTGCCAACTGCTCTGCAGCCCCTCAGGTTTGGAGTCAGGTACATCGTCCCCAAGTACCTCGTCGAGGTTCCCAGGAGGGAGCTGAAATTCGATCTGCGTCGTTGGGATCGGGTCACTGCGTCCGCCCCTTCACAACCAGCTAATTCGTTCCTCGCGACCTCCAGCTCTTCCTCCCAACTCGCCCCTCGACGACCTGTCACCACATCCAAAGACCAAAGACCAAAGGTCTCGGCGCAAAAGCTCCAAGCTTGTCGAAGCTCTCCTCCTACACATTGCGCGCCTTTTGTCAATTACGCCGGCCCCCCTCACCGTCCGTCTCGACGCTGTTCCTTCCCGTCCCCGTCCCCGTCGACCGAACCGACTCTGTCAATACTCGACCTCTACCTCTGCCCGTACCGACCAAAGGGTTTCTTGCTCGCGCATCCCTCGACACGATCCCCGTCTGTTTCGTACCAAACACATCAATTTGTCGAGCACTCATTTGCCATCGTCAGCCGAATCGAAGCGACCTGCCACTGCCACTGCCATACCCTCCTGTCATTGTCAGCTTAGCCGCGGCACATGCGAAATACCCTCGTCCAAAACCAGCAACTCAAAAAGCCCGCGATACACACGATCACCTTCCAGCCGCACCAGCTCGCGGCCACGAGACACCTTTGATGCTCGAATCCCTCTCCTCTACATCTACTGTCCACCCGACTATGCCTCCGTCGTCGATACCATTCTCCTGTTAGAATCTCAGAATCTTTTGTACTTTCTTTTGACTTTTTGGGTCATTCTTTTCCCCCCAAGCATACTTTCCCCCCTCAGCGCTCCTTCTTCTTCCTCTAGAAAGTCGCAAAGCTCATCGAGTATCACGAGATCCTTTCGCCTCCCGCCCTCAACAGCCTTAAATGCAAGCACAGTCATAGCAATAAGGTGGCTTCGGAGGTTCAGCAGTGTGGTCGTCAATCACGAGTCTTGCGCTTGCAATAACACGCACACACACCCGCACTGCTCCTTGACCAGAGTCTGAAGTCATGTCGCCTGTAAGTGCTACCCGTTTCCAGTTGCTGCATTTCCCACCATTCTTCCTGCCCTGCTACGTCACTCTGCTCGGCCACCTGCCGAGTGTTTTGTGCAGCAAGTCAACGCTTTGCTGACATACAATCTGCGCTGGCAGTCTCTCAATGACGCGGCGGTCCCTGCTGCCGCTGCTGCTCCGGGCCCAGCTCCGGAGCCGGTCAAGTACCTCTGGCTTCGCGATACCGTTTCCCAGCCCGTCGTTGCCGCCTTCTGCGCCGGCGGTGTTGCTGGTGCTGTCTCCCGAACCGTCGTCTCCCCTCTCGAGCGTCTCAAGATCCTGTTCCAGGTTCAGAGCGTAGGACGCGATGCCTACAAATTGTCTGTAGGCCAAGGTCTGGCCAAGATGTGGAGGGAAGAAGGCTGGAGAGGCTTCATGGCTGGCAATGGCACCAACTGTGTGCGCATTGTGCCGTACTCTGCTGTTCAGTTTGGCAGCTACAACTTTTACAAGCGGGTGAGTACCATGCGCCTCTGGCCACCTCAGCCGGTGCAAAGAACCAAGGCTAACACGGCACGACTCACAGAACTTCTTTGAATCTGTCCCCGGCGCAGACCTCTCTCCTCTCGCTCGTCTGACGTGTGGTGGCATCGCTGGTATCACTTCCGTCTTCTGCACATATCCCCTTGACATTGTTCGCACTCGACTGTCTATCCAGACTGCCTCCTTTGCAGAGCTGGGCCCTAGGGCCGAAAAGCTCCCGGGCATGTGGACTGTCATGGGCACCATGTACAAGACGGAGGGCGGTATCTCTGCCCTGTACCGTGGCATCATCCCCACCGTCGCTGGTGTTGCCCCCTACGTACGTGGTTCCCCTGTCGTGAGATGAGATTGGTCCTAGACTCTAACTTGACAAAACAGGTCGGCCTCAACTTCATGGTCTACGAGTATGTACGCAAGTACCTCACCCCCGAGGGTGACAAGAACCCCAGCGCCGTCAGGAAGCTGCTTGCTGGTGCCATCTCTGGAGCTGTCGCCCAGACTTGCACTTATCCCTTGTGAGTCGACTTGGTTGACATGGGGCATTGTTTGTCCTGCTAACAGTTGTAGCGACGTTCTTCGCCGAAGATTCCAGATCAACACCATGACAGGCATGGGCTACCAGTACAAGGGCATCACTGACGCTATCCGGGTCATCATTACTCAGGAAGGCGTCAAGGGCCTGTACAAGGGCATCGTCCCTAACCTTCTCAAGGTTGCGCCGAGCATGGCATCCAGTTGGCTCAGCTTTGAGCTCTCACGCGACTTCTTGGTCTCCCTTAAGCCTGATGGCGACGGCGAGGCTGCTCTCTGAGATGAGATGTAGCTTGCATTACTTTATTTACATCCGATTGGGCTTGTCAAGGAGACCTTCGGTACGAGGATTCCAAAGATCCCCAGGATCAACGGGATGCCTTTATTAGACGGTGGCTGGCATAACAGTCACATCGAGGCAAAGAGACTGCCTCTTTCCGGGTTGTGCCTTTCCAACCTGGCATTTCACTCACCAGTGTTTTGATAATGTATTACAATAAGCCTCCAAGAGAGGCGGAGGACGTCATGGGGTTTGCCTGCATGGCATCATGGAAACGTGAAATTGGGCACTGCTTTCCAAGCAGGACCGATGCACAAAGAACCAAATGGGTAGACCAAGCATTAGCTCAATACAAGACATGGATCGAGCTCACAAGTGTGCCTTTTACACTGGTGAAGTGGTGATTACCCATATAATATGTCGGCAAGAAGCTGAAAATGAGATCCTTTGGTCTATTTGAGACTGTGTTATTCGTTTCTTTGTAAGAGTTTTCTGACCATATCGAGATGCACTACCTCGGTCAATGTCGCCTTGACCGAAAAAAGAGATCTCACCGAGGCTGACCGAGAATGCAGGGGGCCCTGCAGACTTTCCGCAGAGTGGGGCCATACAGGTCCACCGTTCAGCAGGAGCGCCCCTCTGGAAGAAAAGGACCCACCGGAAAATTTATTGATCCACTCGACGTTGATTTCAGTTGCCCTAAAGCCCACACAGCCCGATTTTTCCGCCTGGCGAGGAGAGCGTAATTCTAGTGTGGCCCGGCGGAAATCTTTTGAAAGTTTCTCTTTTACACCGACGACGACAACATCACGGCCGCCCATTTGACTCAATTCGCCAACTTCGGGAGTCTATCGACAAAATGGGTACGTAGGAATTTCCCATTCAAGCCTTTACATGCGAGTGGAATTGTGCAACGCGCGGTCCTTTGCGTCTCTCTGATTATCCTCGTTGAAATACCTGGACATCGTGCGAAATGAACTGGATCTGCCGTTGCCTTTTCTGCGAACTTGGCGCGGCGAAAGGAAAAGGAATCCTCTCCTCACCACAAGACGGTGATGCCTTCGTCTCTACTCCTGCGCTCTGCGGGGAGAAATAGATTCGAAGTAGGGCTCATCTCATCGTGGTCGACGGATGATGGACTTTTCTCGCCTGCATTCAGAGCATGCTTGAACCAAAAGGCTGACGATTGGGCTCTTCACCCCCGTTTATAGGTATCGATCTCGACCGCCACCACGTGCGCAGCACGCACCGCAAGGCTCCCAAGAGCGACAATGTGTACCTCAAGCTTCTCGTGAAGCTGTACCGCTTCTTGACCCGTACGTTATCCTCGATGCAAGACCCCGCGACGACCGAAAGAACATCGACTAACCCTCTGCAGGTCGCACCGACTCCAACTTCAACAAGGTCATCCTGCGCCGTCTCTTCATGTCGCGCATCAACCGCCCTCCCGTCTCCATCTCCCGCATTGTCGGTAACTTGGACAAGGAGGACAAGCGCACCGTCGTCATCGTCGGCACCGTCACTGACGACAACCGTCTCCTGACCGTCCCCAAGCTGACCGTCGCTGCCCTGCGCTTCACCGCCACCGCCCGCGCTCGCATCACCGCTGCCGGCGGCGAGGCTATCACCCTCGACCAGCTTGCCCTCCGCGCCCCCACCGGTGGCAACACCCTCCTCCTCCGCGGACCCAAGAACTCCCGTGAGGCCGTCAAGCACTTCGGCATGGGTCCCCACAAGCACAAGGTACGATCATACTGCCTGGTCCCGAGAAAATGCTACGAGAACAGCACTAACACCCTCTGCAGAAGCCCTACGTCGAGTCCAAGGGCCGCAAGTTCGAGAAGGCCCGTGGTCGCAGAAGGTCCCGCGGTTTCAAGGTCTAAGCGTTGGTGGTATTCTCCATCATTGCTGGGCTCTTTTTCACTCTGGGGTTCGGTCATGCGTGGCCTGGTCGCGCAGGTATGGACCAGAAGCAAGAACAACGCTATCTCAAGACGGGTGGCGTGGGGTTGAGATATCCCCTGCGCTTCCTGTCGTGCTTTACAGGGAACACTTTTTCTTGCATGGTATGGCGTGGTTAGGTATCCAAAAAAGAAGAATTGACGACTACGAAACCTTCTCTTAATGGCGTCGAATGGCATCTCTTGGGCTTGGGTTTTTTCACCACTTTCATACCGGACTTGCCCCTCTCTGTGACTCGCATGTGTGATGTGTCTGAGGTGTGATTACCCACACCATGTTTATGACGGTTGATCAACCAGTCTTGGTGGAGGGACGCATGTGTGGAAGGTGAAATCTACCACCACATAGGTATGGCACTTCTCACCGATATGTACTGGTTACTACTTTTCTCTCCGCTTCTTGCTACGACGACAGACTGCCGTCATCAGTCCACGATCACGCTTTCCACGCTTTCCGCTTTCCACCCTACCTTACATGGTGCCCTAGACTATAGCCAGTCCCATCTATATGATATGTAGTCATTGCAAGAATGATCCTCCCTCGAAAAAGCTTCCAAGATCGGACTCTTCTTATCTATATTCATCCTCTGTCACGTTTGCATGCCGTAAGCCTAGATCTGTTTGAAAACACAAAATTTCGCAAAGGTAGTAGCTTTTAGGTTGCAATGATGGGGAAGAGCGGGAAGGATTTGTGACCTACAGTCTGTTTTGCAGCTTATCATTGGCCTGATTGATTCTGATAGGCTGCCAAAACTTAGAGCAGATATACTCGAGTAGATTGACTCTTGGTTACGGTAGGTGAGAACTGATCCAGGTCAGGATGGGTTCAGCTGAACTCGTTTCTGTTCATATTGACTTAATCCTGCCTCTCGGTGCCGCGATACGTGTTGCAAGCCACAAGGCAGTTCTACTATCGAAGAGAGTCAGAAATCTATTTTCTTCACTCTAAAGTTAGCAAGTAATAATCCAGTGATGCTTCTTAGCTAGTATTTGGAATGCAAACCACGCCTTCCTCCCCGATAGCTCTCTGATAAGTAAAAGGCTCCTACTAGAAGGGAGAAAAGCAAATGGTGTCTCAAGCCAGCACTCAAGCATTGCTCTTTGAAGAAGAGCTGAAGCCGGCCTGGTCGAAATGCATATGCGCCAAGAGGCTTCTTGTAGCACTCCTTGCAGATATCGGACGGGAATTCGGCTCCGCGAGAGCACAATTGATGGCACCTTCGCACACACCAGCGAATCTCACACGTGAGGCTGAAATTTCTGATGCGGACAACCCGACTTGTCTCTAACCCCAGCATACCAAGATGATTAGAAATTGGAATAGGTTTAGTGTTATCTCAAGACCACAATGTGTCGTGATAGGCTTGCATCAATCTTCTTCCAGGTGAGCCAATACACAACTTCAGCTGCGCGACAAGTCACAAACATTGATGCAATAGTATGATTACTGACACCTCATGTTTAATCGCATGGTGTTCTTTTCTCTTTTCAAGTGGCCGTACAGCTGTCTTATCTTACGCAAGGCATTCGCAATGGGAGTTTCCAATTTCTATATCTAAGGACCTGGGCTTCTTTCACACAGCCTTCTAGTTCCTACCATAAACGAGCCACTTCATTCTTCTATACTTTTGCCATGGACACCGACATCTCCACCTGTCCCCAGGACAGTAACTCGACTGACTGTCTACTTCGAACTCTGGTTCAAATTCTGGATGGCGCTCAAAAAGCCGATGACGCGAAGTATGACTGGGATCCTATAACCTTTGCCTTTACTGTCATCGTTGGTGCTGTAGCGCTTTTGTTCGCTCTAGTTCCCATCGTTCAGACCATCATCGCACCTGGACAAGGGAGCAGAACAACCAATCGCCTTGCCATTGGAGAAAAGTGGTCAAAAGAGAGTACAAGGAGATGGAACTGGCGCCAATGGACATACGAATATACTGTAATCACTCCCATCTTTCGTATGCAGACCCTGAGGAAATGGGTGCAGGCGGACATCGACTACATCAAGAAAGATTACGACGAAAACAACTTGAACTTTTGGGATGACATTGACGAGATCTGCGAGGAGAGAACCAGGAACTCGGATCCAGAAAAGCATGTCGCATGTCAAGACAACATCGATAACAAAAACACCGAGAAGGACTCCGAGGGGTTAGAAAGCGCTTTGATGACGATCCTCCGCTATTTTCTCCCAAGGCAGACCTCCGTCCATTCCGAGAACAGGCCTGCTGCGACCTGGATTGACTTCTTCCACAAAGTTGGACTGGACAAGATAGACCCTCGAGACGACTTGGGTAGACGGAAAGTCACTGCTGACTACCTACCCAGCGACGTCGTGGCCGCTCCTGCGTACGCGCAGATTGGGGTTATTGTCACAGCCGCTTCAACAACACCGGGTTGGGCGAAGTGGCCCACCGATCCATCGTCAAATTTCCCTGTGATCTTTGGTTATGGATTTCAGTTTGACTTCCGCCAACACCCAATACTTGGTGTTCTTGGAGCCTATTCGCAGTACAGCAAAAGACAGCAAGACCAAGACGATTCTCGCAATATCCCGGGTATCTTTGGACTCCAGTGGTTGTACAACAAGACCAAGGCGGGCAAGGAAGCCCTTGAAAAGAAACAGAAGAGAGAGAAGCTACGGTCGTATTACAGCCTATACCGTCTCCGTGTGGCCATATCCCACTCACGCGCGACCATAGAGGCCGACCGGCAATCGCTTTTCAGTGTCGAGCCCAACAACCCATTGAGTATCATCAATCTGAACACCAGCCAACACCGCGTCGAGGTATTAAGATATATGCTAAACTTGTCCAAAGAGGATATGCATTCCAGAGCACATGGTGCCTTCATGTTGGACTATGGAGGCCTCTCCCATGAACAATACATGCCCATTGTCGGGCTGTTCCTGGCTACCACACCACGATTTGTGCCTACATTATTTCCTACGGATTTGCTGAGCAAAAGGCCTCCTCTTACGCTTCTCGCTCTGAATGGACACTTCTGGACCAATGTCACAAGAGAAAGCGTCAAAGGAGATGACATGTCCGATTGGCCTGTGTCGCTTCAGACCTCGGACTGGGACCAAAACGTCATTAAATGGGTCAATGATGGAATGGATGAAATGGGAAGGTCAAAGGCGAAACCCTCGAGGCAGTTTTCAAGGAGACTAAACGATCAATCTACCACCACTTGCAGTGTCAGGGAGTGGGCGCAACGAAGCCTGCTGTTGGCCTCAAGGTTGTACTTCATCTATGCATGAAGCTGCTTCACAACGACGAGACCTTTCGAACCTGGTTTTCCAAATATCACCCAGCAGTCGCAGCATACCTGAGACGCATCATTCATTTGCAACTCCGACTGCTGGATCTCTGGTTTCTGAACTCCAACCACAACACATCCTCCACTCAGTCTCGCGCAATTCGCATTTGCAACACGACTCTCGTGTTGATGCTAGCAGATGAGAAGGCACCTAGGAAAGAGAACTCGACCAGTCCAGTTCCTGATGAACCAGACCACACTGTCTGGCATCTCCATTCAAACACACTCGAATGGATCGAAGAGTTGATGAATTCCATTGGTCTCACCCCGGAAACTCTTGAGGGCACAAGGAGCGACTGGAAACCAGAAAAGAGCTTTGATATCAAGAGACGCTCAATCAAGAATACCGGAACTCAAGAAGAAGACTCTGATGAAATCTTGGTACCCTTGGCTGCACAAATGAAGCCGCGCGATAAAGACCTGAAGTACCTTGCAACCGCTTATTACAACAAGAAGTGGGAGCTGTGGAATACCCATCAGATGCTAGACAGGTTGGACAAGGTGGCCTCATCCAGGGCCGACAGCTCCTATCGGAAACGGCGATTCCAGCAACGTGATGGAGGAGATGTGGCTAATGAGAAGACAACTGACGATATGATCGTATTTCGCTGTATTCTCATAGCATTACTTTTTCAGACGGCTCCAGACAACGCAGCGCTCATCAAATCGGGGGTTTGGGAACAGGTTGTGGCTATTGTCTAGGGGACAGAGGGTTGGGTACGACGAGCAAGGCCTGAGGCTACGATACTGGTGACTTGCTGTCTGCGATGAGTGTACCAACGACTTTTGTTCAGAAAGTTAGAAGAAGATAATACATAGTTGAATATGTAGGCACCGTTACTGGTCTTCGTCACCGTTAAGAGCTCGTTGGATATTTCCTCGTTTATGACGATGATGGCTCATTTAGGAGAACCTGGCAGCGCATCCGTACACATAGTATCTGGATTCTAGGTTCTACTCCCTGAATCTCAAACTTAGTCCTGGCTTTAGTGCGCAGGTACCAAAAAGAGAAAGGTATAAATAAGTGTTTAGCCTATGAATCTAGCTAAAGATTGACGGAGTCCTTAGCATCATTCCTCCGCTCATGAAGAGATTACTCGAGAACAGACTCGAATCCACATAAGATATACTTCCCCTTACTCCATCCTTCCAATACTGCCCGTTGTCGGTCAATCCATCAAGAAATCAAAACACACCCCTAAGAAGATCGACCAATCCAGTGCGGTCTGGCTCATCAAGCAGACCCTAGAAGCAACTCTCCCGCAGTCGCCTCCATCAACCGAAATGCCGTTTTCGGCAGCAGCTTCTTGCACTTGGGACACGCCGGTTCCTTTTTTCGCAGAGTACTCTCCGTCAACTTCTGGAAGAGACATCGTTTCCCAATAAAACACTTGCATTTTTTCATCCGTACCATCGGCTCTCCGCGATGGCAACCGCGAGTGCCATGATCAAAGGGCTTGAACATGGCACCGGGCGAGTGATCGTAGTACTTTTTGTTGCAGACGGGACACTCGAGACGCGACGGCCCCTCCCAGTCGTCGACGTCCTCCGCTGCGGAGTCAATCAGGGCCCGCCTCGCCTTGTAGGCGATGACTTCCGAGTTCCATTCTTGGCGGCGGTCGTGGTAGTACTTCTGGATCAACTGGACGAGATACATGAACGGTTTATGCGGCAACGACGCCTTTTTGGTTGAGCTTGCAATCTCGGCGAGCTTTTCCAGACCCGGGATGGTCGACGGACCGCGAAACACTAGGGGCATGATGATGCTGCAGAGCACTGACACCGCGAGGCCGAACCGGCTGTTGGAGATGCCGTTATCATGCAAGAGAACTTCTGCCATGAACTTGACCAGGTTGGCGCGCCTCGACATGGCGGTCGCCTCTAGGGTATGCGCATCAGTCCAACCGCCACCATACTCTGCGTTCTGCAAGACCAGGGCCGACGCCAGCTGCATATAATCGCGGATATTCTCGTCCAGCGTCTTGCGACGGCTCTTGACGAGGCAATTCGAGAACAAAGGCTGGTGAGAAAGCCCGCCCTTGAAGTAGAGCTTCTGCGCTTGACAGAAGCCAGAGAGCACGGTATGTCGGAATCTGAACAAGTTCTGCATGGCAGGACTCTGTATACGAGGATCCGACTCGGCCTTCTCCCCGGCCATATCCGTGAGGTACTTGCGGGCCGCCGTGGCCGGGTTGTAGTAGAACGCCCGCGGGCCGTTGGCCTCGCAGGAGCAAACGCCAACGCGATGGTCGTTCTCCTTGCACCGACGCTCCATGAAGAAGGCCCGGAACCACGACTCGCTCATCTCCTCGTTCGTGACGTCGCTAGAAGGGAATTTGCTCCGGATCCAGAGAAGGACGCAGTGAGAGTACTCGGTCATGTAACTCTGGACCCAGGCGCTGTCCTGGACGTCGTCGCGGTGCCATTCGTCGTGCGAAGGGGTCACTCGAGGCACGGCGGGGGTCTCGCCCGAGCAGCCGGGGCACATGTAGACGTAGAAGCTGGTGCGGTTCTCCCATTGCTGGGCCGGGCAGGGGAAGATGTGCGAGCAGAGGATGTTGGCTATGACACGGTGACGTCTCTTGGGGCCATTAGGACGCGGACTGGCTGGGCAGTTGTAGAACTGCAAGTGTTTGATGCACATAGTTGCAGTTGATGGCGTATGAAAGGATGACTTGTTGCTCGTCTTTCAGGATTTGAAGCCCGCTTTCAAATTGGATGATGAGGACAACTTCAGATCGTTATTCATCTCTTAAGCTTACAGCCACGGCTTTGTATTAGTTCGAGTATTGGTCGACAGAGCATTTCCAAGGGGCGAGCAGAGTTCCAAAGATATCCATCCCAGACAAGAATGGAAATCACTGAGTTCAGGGTACTGCAAGCCGTTCTTTCAGAGATGGGAGAGCTCTTGACAGAGTCGGGCATCGCTTTGTGCCACTCTCGACGTTGACTTCCCTTTCTCACAGTCGTCCGGAATTGGCGCCATTGTAGGCTTGTAGACAAAGGAGGATGGTGATATTCAACGCTCACAATTGGAAGAGTAGGGGGCATTGGACTGCATTTGTTAAAAAAAAATAGCGATGCGCTTGAAAACAACCCATCAAGTCCAATCCGCCTAGCGCTTAAGATAACAGCTTGACCGATGAGAGCGTGAGAAGTGCTGTAGTGTGTTGTTCTATGAAACCCAACTCGCACATCATAAGTCCCTTTCTAAATTCTACGTGTAAGTTAGAAAGCCATGGAATAAATCTCTAAGGTGGGAGGGGATATATTCACGACTTGTTCTACAATGATCTCTAGGACCAAACATCTAGGTGTCTACTTGAGAAGCCTGATGTCCTCATAGTCTCTGGGAAATTTCACGAAAACATGACATCGACATCAGGAGTCTACGATGATTGGCGGCTTAAATCCAGCGCAGTCTGCGCTTCGAGAGTCGACAAAGAATCTGTGTTCTGCAGCAATGCGGCGCAGTAAGTGAAGCAATCCCCAACGTCAACTTCCAGCCGACGGTCCCGCGACAACAGACCGCTGGTCCAAAGTTTTCCAGTGAGTCCAGTCTGTTGCCTCGACACAGTAGCCAAGTTTGCGTCTCATCGGCTTTAGCATTTGCAGAAGCCAAGTACTGTATCTCCAAAACATCCTCTCAACGCCCCTAATAAATCCCGAACGATCAAGTTTGCAGTCTAGGATTGATAGTGGTGTTTGCTTCAACGTACAAGGATGTACCCCTAGCGAAAACGAAATGGTTTGCCAAGTCCTTATCGTTGAAGTCTACTCCTTACGTGGGCCGCGATCCCCGTTGCTCGAGCCAACGTCGATGCGGGTGGTGCCAACCGCGATCGAAAATCGCCGATGTACCCTTGTCCGAGATCGTGTCTTTTGTGAGATCAAATGAGTTGCCGCCATAACCTACGCTGTAACGTGCGAGATCCGAGATACTGGGACGGCCAGACGGCGAGGGTTGCCGGGTGTCGACATGTTGGATTCCACTGGGCTCCATTTCCAACGTCAAGCTGCAAGTGTTGAGGCTTCTTTGACCCGACGAAGGGGAACCCATCACCAATGATGATACGGAGTTCGACTGCTACAGATATTGATAGACGAACCATCTGTAAAAATTTGGCTTTGCTCATGCTAGCATCGATTCCCCGACTCTCCTCTCGGATCTCACTCTCAGTCTAGAACTTGGCATGGCGCTGGTCCCAAAGTAGAAGATTTGTTTGGCCACGACCAACAGGTATGTTCACCATATGATATTGTTTGCTCGCGCCACTCACACAATCGTGCTTCTCCTCCGAGCCTCCTACTTTCTTCGGCTCTTGCACAATTCGCAGGAGGAAGGAGGAAACACGATCCCCTTGCGTTCGGCGAAAGTCCATGTTCCTTGTCCATCCATCGCCGAATGCTCACCTTCATATAGGAACGCCAAACTTCCCGAGCAGTAACACAATGTAGTCTGAACCTCCCTTCGATTGCGTTTCTACCCTTCTCTACTCTTTCTTTCTTTCCTCTTCCCTACCCTCCCAAAAAGAGACTGGGAATGGTGGCGTTTTCAGACACTACCAGCTCCCTCTCGTCAGGTTGTACCGTTGTCGGGAACCTGGTGGTATCAGCCTGCATCCCGTCAACAATGTCACCACAACCGCAGGCCGTCGACCCCAACGCACCGCTCTTTGGCGTCGCCCACAACGTCTCCCGTCCCGCCCTGACGGCCTACACCTGGGCCAACGTCGCCACCTCGTACATCTTCCTCTCCCTCCGCCTCCTCGTCCGCTGGCGCCGGAACCAGCACCTCCTGCGCGACGACGTCTGGATGGTCTTTGCCTGGCTGTGTCTTCTGACCATGGCCATCCTCCAGATGCAGCAGATGGACTCGCTGTGGTACGTCGTCGAGCTCGAGGCGGGCAGGTTCGTCCCCGCGTCCAAGGAGGAGGCGGAGCTGCAGCTGGAGCAGTGGTTGCGCTGGTCGTATGCGCTCACGTATCTCTTCTGGACGGGGTTGTTTGCGGTGAAGGCGAGTTTCTTGAATGTGTTCTTCAGACTTGTCAGTCCCATCCCATGGCTACGCAAGATCTGGTATGGGATTGCTGTGTTTTGTCTCCTTTCATATGTTGGGGGATGGCTTTCGGGGTCGCTCATTTGCGATACTCCGTCCGACTACTTTCGGGCAGGTGAGTTCACTCCTAAGTTCGCGGTAGAAACCTCTTGCATCTGATGCCTGAAACTAGGAAAATGCCTCTCCCCAAAAGAAGTCTACTACTACCGCTTCTCCATCTTCTTCGCAACAGCAGCCGACGTCTTCACAGACCTGCTCATCATGAGTCTACCCATCGCCGTCCTCCCCTCGCTCCAACTCGACTTTCGCAAAAAGTTTGGTCTCGCGGTAGCCTTCTGCCTGGCCCTCATCACGATCCTCACAGCCATCGTCCGCATGACGCAGGTGCTCAAGGGCGAGACGGTGGACATGGTGGGCCTGGCCGTCTGGAGTCTCACGGAGCTCGGCACCGCCATCATCGTGGGATCGCTGCCGCCACTAAAGGCTCTCTTGACGCGGGGGATGAGAAAGTATAACGGAAGCAGGATGAACCGCAACAAGTCGTACATCAACTGCAGAGGCGAGCCCGGTAACGAATACGGCCCGAATAATACGTCGCGGTCCGTCATGGTTGCCGAGTCGATCCCGTTGGATGATAGGCATAGGAGCGAACAGTTTGATGGGGGGATATATGTCCAGAAGACATGCGAAGTTCGTGTAGAGGGTGCTTCGAAGAGAACGAATAATGAGGAAGAGGGAGTTGTGACGAAGAGTTTTGCGGCAAACAGACCTCCATAGACTGACTCAAAGAGTTCTCTACTAAGACTATGAATGATTACCAAGACACCACGGCCCACGACAGGTAAGATGAATAGAAATTATATTTAGGTCGATGCATCATTCTGTAATGCTGATTGTAGCTCTGTGTAGATGATATGGCGCCTTTGATGAGAACGCCCAGTCGTCCGTCAGCCCGTCTCAATTTCGACTTGCTGCCCGGCTTGTGTAACAAAAGAAAATGAACTGAAAAAATATAACGCGAATGCAGACGCGGCGTAAAGCAGTAGGGTATCTTCAGCTTCCATCCTCAACTATGCCCAGGTTCTCTGAACGCCACTTGTGTTTGTTTGTATACCCAAGAAAATTCGACAAAAGAAATAAAGGATAGCGCCCGTATCCATGAAATGCAGTAGACCATGCTCACACTGAGCCACGCAGCCTCACTCTTCCAACACCTCTCGCAGTGCATCAACATCCACCTGGTCAGGCGACACTTTGCTCGGAGGACCGCGACGCTGATGGGCCGCCAGGTATTCTTGGAAACCTGGAATAGCACCGGCTTGATTGATGCCCGGCGGTCTGAGGAATTCCTTTTCCTTCTGCTTCTCTTTCCCGCTGCGTTGCGTTGGTGTCGGTGTGGGCGGCGCCTGCGTGGGTGTTGTGGCTCTGCCTGCTGCTGCGCCAGTCCAAGGCCTCCAGCTGACCCATCGGCCTATTCCTCCAGAGTTCTGCGAACCTTGAGAATGGGTGCTTGCTGGCGAAGCACTTCGAACCGGAGTGGAAACCATCCTCGACACCGGTCGCCCTGCCAGACTATCGCGAAGCAAGGCGTCACTCCGTCGATCGCTTCCTCTCGATATTGTTGACCGTGCCGTAACTCCAGTAAACACAGCATCGGCCCCACCCAGAGGACGAAGGGTCAATTGACTCGGTCGTACTTTGAGTGTGTGGATGTCCAATCCTCCCGACAACGACATGATTGACTCGTGGGAGACGGCACGGTGCAGACCTCTCCGCGGTAGCTCTTCATCCTTGGAGAATGAGACTTCTGTCTCGGTTTCGGTTTCCGTCTCTCCGTGGTCCTCGTGGGAAGTGAGCAACCTAGGCACTTCCTCACCGCTGTGATCCTCTCTCTCTTCCTCAATCGTAGATGAAATAGGTTGAGAGACATGTACTGTCGGGGCAGCTGGTGACGCTGGCGAACCCAAGTTTAGGAACTTTGGAGGTACAGAGAAGCTTCGAATTGATGCCTCGGAAGGGCGCTTATGATGGGAGACTTTCCATGTAGGCGACGTAGGGTCCAGGCTGGTCGTCGGAGACATGGGTATGTCCGTCTCCAGCATTGGGCGGTCGAACATGGAAAGACGAGGATTTGACTGAGGCGAACTCGGGACGGACGACGGTGCGAATTCAGAGGGTTGCTCCGAGAAGACGGACCACCGATTTGAGGGCGGCATCGAAACTGTTGACGTTGATCCCGTGTGAGAATGTGAGGCCCTGGGGGTCACTGGTGAGGGGCCGGGTCGCCACACGGCCGGTGGAGGGGTTGACGATCGCGAGACGCTGGCGGGGGAGAAGATCGCTGGGTTCAGGCTGTGGCGCTTTTTCTTCTTGTTCTTTTCGGCGACATGGTAATGGTGGTGAATATGCACTTGTTGGGAAATATTGTGCTGTGTCATCTCGCCCAATTCCGGCCCGATTTCAGCACGCAAAGTCGACGTAGCGCTGGCGTCTTCCTCCCCGATGGGTTGGTGACACATGAGCTGGTCCCGCATGGCCTGGATTTCGTCGTTCGAGTTGAGAAGCATTTCCCGTAACTCGGCCATGCCCAGCTGCAGATTAGCATTGTCCTGCAGCAAGTCTCGGACAAAGTGAGATACCACGTTGGTGGCGGGTTTCCCGTTGGTGAGCGACTTGGTGGCGGCAGCTCCCTTAAGGCGTCCGGCGGCAAGGTTCAGTTCCTTTTCCATCTCACGCTGGCGCTCCACACGGCCCAAAACCTCGGCATGGCGTTCACGCTCTTCCTTGGCCTCCTTTTCCATACGCTCCAACTGTTCCTGAAGGTCAGAGATGCCCCTCTCAGCCTTTCTCCATCGTTGCATGGCGGAGCGGGCCTCGGATTCGGTCGTGATTAAGGTGTTTTGCAACCGCAACTGCTCCTGTTCGAGAAGTGCAATATGCCTCTCCATCTCCGCAGCACGAGCCGCCGCGCCCTCGAGACGCCGCACTGCTTGGTGAGACGACAGCAGGGTAGCCTCGAGGGTCTGAATGCGGATGTCAGAATCCTGAACCGTGTTGTTGAGCATTTCGAGCTGATCTAGTAGTGTACGGTTCTCTTCGACGGTCCTCGCGTTCTCGGCCTGTAATTCCACCTTTTCGTTTTCCAACTGCTCTATGCGACTCGTAAGGGACATGCGATCTCGTTCGGCATCGGCCATGTACGCCTCATGACGAGCAAGTAGGGCCTGGAGAGGGAAGGTCAGCGACATGGCGACACGTGCAGCGGGAGAAGACGACGGTGCATTTGGGACGATTCGCAGGTTTGGTAGCGAATGCAGAGTTTGCGGGCTGGAACGGTGCCGGGACTCCCCATCTTGAAGTTAATCACGGGAAATGAGGTGTTGGAATGTCTCGAGAGATTGGCACGGGCTTGGGGAGCGGCACGACTGGAATGTTTCGACGGGTAAGGGAGGGAAGGGAAAAGCTAGAAAAAGAAGAACGAGGACGCACCTTGCCCAACTTGGCGGCGGTATGGACATCCTTTTCGACAGTTTCGAGCACAGAGCAGCTATGCTTCAAATAAGCACAATCGTTGCGACCGCAGCAGCATCGCATTCTGGACCCCTCGTCCGGGCGGGGAGCGGAAGTTTGGACGAAGTCTGCCATGGGATCGGCGTCGCGAGGACGGGCGTCATCGGTGTTGCGGACGGTGTCGGTGTAGTCGTCGTTGAAGTGGGTGTCTGCCGTGTATTGGTAGGCCGTGTTGTTCAGGTCAAGGTCTGCTGCGTCGTCTTGTTCTGAGTCTGCATCTGGATCCGGTGGTGTACGGGTCCCGAGTTCTGCCATCGTTATTGCGGCAGAGTCGTCGCCACGGCGGACAGCATGCTGAGGGCCCAGAGGCGAAGGCACGGACGTTGGGATCGGGGCTTCGGGGTGCCGGTCTGGGTCGAGCTAGTCAGGCAGAGAGCTCAGCGAGAGCGGGGAGAACGAGGTTATCCGTAAAGGGACTATCCACGAGAGACGACTGTGGGAGGGGGTCTCTCTGTTTTGTGAGTTGTGCCAGCCAGGGAAGGCGGGTTTATGTTGGAGTTGTGACTGTGTGTGTGGGTGCGTATTGTTGGCACTCTGTGTTGTGCGATTCGTACATAGGTACGGAGTATTATTATGGCCGTTGAGTTGGCGGCCGGTGACGCGATTGGGCTCTCGGAGGCCACCTGCAGCGAGGAGGGGACTGTATTTCCCAAGGTGTGATTGTTATCGCGATGGACTGGACGCCTAGGCGCGACTTGGACCGGTTCTTTGAGCTTGCTGACGGGGGCGACAAGGGTGTCTGTGGTATCTTGGTGCCTCTTTACTGGGGAAGACAGGCCCTGGTCGCAGTGAACTGTCTGCAGCAGCGCAAGATGACAGGGGATAACCCAGACCAGCGGGGTCCGACTGCAGTTTCTTTTGAGAGCATGTGGTCCGAGCCGAGATTGGGCTCATATAAAAAATTGGAAGGAAAAAAATCGTCAAGAGGATGACGATGGAGGGTTGGGTTCGTAGGTGCGTCGTAGTAAGTAGGTCGCTATTAGGACGATGAAAGGCATCTATCCGTAAGTCTGGCTCGATCAAAGACGTAGCCGACGAATACTGAGTAGAGACCAAAAAAGGGAGAGACAAGATGACGGCGTAGGGATGGTCATTTCAGGTCGGATGGGAGTTGGGACGAATACACAGTAGAAGGGTTGGAATTTGGAGGGGAGTGGAGGGGATGAGAGAAGGTCAAGGATGCGGTGCCGGGTCTGGATCGGAAAAAGAAGAGATGGGTCAAAGAACCAAAGAAGGAGAATGGGAAAGGTGAGGTACCTGGACCAGAGATAGTTTCTTCGAGAGATCGTATGCAATCTAATGGCATTTGCGTGTACCTTTCCTTTGCCCAAAAAAAGACGGACAAGAAACGTTCGCGTCAAGCCAAAAACCACAGGTGCAACCTTTGCAAGTCGCACTCCTTGCCGTGCTTGCCCAATCTGGCCCAATCTGCGGTAGCGCATCCTCAGTGCTCCACTTGGTACCCGCCAATCCAGGAACACTTCACCTAAGGACCAGCCTGCAAAATAGGTACGGAGGTACCTAGACGACTGCCCCACCCGCACGAGGCACCTTACCCAGGCACGTGCCACCTCAGGTACTCTCGGTACGTATTCTGTTTCTCGAGACTTTCCCTCCCTTCCCTCCAATTACCTGGTACCTTACCTCACCTTGCCTTACCTTACCTTACCTTGGCACCATACCTAGGTGAGGGGAGATTTTCAGGCCAGCCGTCACAGAGACATTCACTCGCAGCGAATGAAACATGTCTGGCCCTGCCACGATGACGACAGACCTCACCCTCTGCTTGCAAGCAAGCTGGGAATTAGAAGCACTGCAGGTGGTAAATTAGCCAGTCATCTCAGGTCCTGTGACCAAAGAAACCGGCCGCATCTTGACGGCCAGCGCATCAACACACCACCAGCCACCACAATACCTTCCTAACCGTCATTCACAACGACTCGAGCAGATAATCACTAAGGTACGTGGGTACTTTGTAGGCTAGCTAGCAGGTGGATGGCACTGCTTACTTTTGCCGGGACGATCTGAAAAGGGCTGTCCTTGTGTGGGCGCCGTATAAGAAGTTGATCGGCATTTGCTCGAATCGGGATGCCCCCGCAAAGAACCTCCATTCCTGAGTCGAGACGTGTAAACTGACGCGAGACCGCGTTATATCACAACAAGCAAACATCGCATTCTCAAACTTTTTCGACATAACTATGGAGGGATCTACCAAAAGTTTTTCGATTTTGAACTTTCGCTACTAATTGTAGCAAAATGTCCCTTCAACACCTGCCTCAAGGTAGATTTACTTCAAATCCTTGGCAGGCCCATGACTGGTCTATCAACTGGGATGGCTATAATACGCACACGAGGACGAGATAATAACTCCGATCTACTCTGTAATTAGTAAACCCACAAACGAGTCTATAATAGACCACACATAAGCATCGTGCTATTGAATTCGACATGAAGAGAATGATAAGATGACCATGGGTAAAATGCATCGTGATCCATTGTCTTCCCATCACTACTTCCGGGGTCGGTTCCCAGGCTGGCGATTCGCCTGCCCGTCCCGGGTACCTGCACTGGAACTTGAAGTATCTCCACTGTAGCCTGCGAGGTGCCTGCCTGAGGTGGTCCGGCAGCGTGCCTGACGCCGCTGCGGGCCCCCCACCGGCCCGGCACACCGACCCCACCCGCACACCACTTTCGGCTCACCATAGACGTCAATTCAGGAACGCCGAGTCCCAAAAACCACCGTTGCCTCAACCTCCCGTCTACCGCACCGCACCGCACCGCACCGCACCGCTTCCCCGTTCGAGGTCAACTCCCGATATACCCACGGGGTCAACCTTTCGGAACGGCCATTCTCTACCTCAACCCACTCAATCACCGGATGACGGAACAATGGCATCCTCCAAAGAACCTGCGTCCATATCTCCCCCGGTACACACTCAAACGGACGCTAGCAAAACTGTCGTCCGCGGCGCCTCCCTCCTCATCATCCTCCAAATCGGCTCCCGCGCAGTCACCTTTATTGCAAACCAGCTTCTTCTCCGCTTCCTGACGGCCCGCCTTCTCGGCGTTTCTACACAACTAGAGGTCTACTACCTTTCGGTGCTCTTCTTCGCCCGAGAATCCCTGCGCGTTGCCGTCCAGCGCCAGGAAACCCAAGGCAATGCCGCACGTCAATCTTCCAACAGCAAAAAGGATGATGATCCAAAAGTTCGCATAGGTCGAGAAAGCCAGGCCGTCATAAACCTGGGCTACCTCGCCGTCCTCCTAGGCTTTTTTGTCACCATCGGCCTCGGTTGGTTATACCTATCCTCTGTCGACTCGTCCACTGCCCAGACGCCAAACTTCCTCCTCGCCCTCCGCCTCTACGCCCTGGCCGCTATCCTCGAACTCCTCTCGGAGCCCTGCTTCGTTCTTATGCAGACTCGCTTACGCTTCGGCACCCGTGCCACCGCGGAGTCCATCGCGACCTTCCTCCGATGCACCGTTACTTTTGCCACCGCCTTTTGGGCTTCCAGGGCCGGCGTCGAGTTCGGCGTGCTCCCCTTCGCCGTCGGTCAGCTCTCCTACGGCGCAGCTCTGTTGGTAGTCTATCTCTCGTCCGCATCCCGCCTCGCCCTTGCAGATGGCTTCTCTCTCCTCCCAAAAAGCCTCGCTTCCACAGATAGTGGCGGAGGAGAGGACTACCTCGCCTCCTACTTTTACCGTCCCACTGTCAGTCTAGCCTCCAGCATGACAGCCCAGAGCCTCGTCAAGCACGTCCTCACACAAGGCGATACCTTTCTCGTCTCGGTTCTATCCACCCCCAAATCGCAGGGCGTCTACGCGTTGGCCAGCAACTACGGAGGTCTCCTGGCCCGTCTCGTCCTTCAGCCCATCGAGGAGAGTAGCCGCAGCTACTTCAGCCGTCTGCTCTCCTCCCGTGAGGTAAAGACCAAATCGCTACCGTCCGCCAAGGACACAGCAGCAACAACCACGGCAAGCCAGCATCTTCACACCCTCCTCAAATTCTACATCCTCCTCTCCTCCATCATCGTGAGCATCGGCCCTGTCGCCGCGCCCCCGCTCCTCTCCCTGGTCGCGGGCCAACGTTGGGCCTCAGAGGGCGCAGGCGACGTCCTGGCCGTCTACTGCTACTACCTACCCCTCCTCGCACTCAACGGCGTATCCGAGTCATTTGTCGCCTCCGTCGCCTCGGAGGCCCAGGTCCACCGCCAGTCTGCCTGGATGGGCGCCTTCTCCGTCGCCTTTGGCTCGGCGGCCTTCTTCTTCATGCGCGTCATGGACCTCGGCGCCCAGGGCCTCGTCTACGCAAACTGCATCAACATGCTGTGCCGCATCGTGTGGAGTCTCGCCTTCACCAAATCGTACTTTGCAGGGTTGGAAACGCCGTTTGAACTCTTTTCGCTGCGGCCTAACGCCGTCACCTCTATCGTCTGTCTATCGGCGCCACACCTCATCAGGAGGTTTGCCGGTGTTGCCTCGGCGGGCGTGTCTACTTCCCCGTTCAAGGACCTCATCGCCATCGGCCTAGCCGCCGTTCCCGTCGTACTTTTGATGTAAGCTTTTCCCCGCCCCATGAGGCCCATGAGGTTCGCGCCGCTGTGACCTAGTGTGTGTGTGTGTGTGCTTTTCCCTCCATCTAACATGACCTCAGACTCTTTGCCGAGCGCAGGTTTCTCCTGCAATGTTACAACTCGGCACGCAAGCCGAAAGCAGCATAGACGTAAATACCTCGGGGTGGAAATCGAATACGTAGAAAATCCTCCCGAGAAGCCAAAAAAGATAAAAATAGTAACAAATCAGTCAAACGTAATCTTGGTCGCCTTCTTCGTCATGTCGACGTCCTTGAAAAAGGCGCCGTAGGTGCTGTGAGCCTTCTTCTTGACAGTGGTGCCGAACTTGAAGAGATCATCGGGGACCTCTTGCTTGGCACCCTTGAGGATGTTGATCAAACTAGTCAATTTTGTTAGTAAACCATGTCCAAACTAAGGTTTTCAGGACGCAGGGGGACTCACGATCCAGAGTGCGCCTTGTCGTGCTCGGTGAACAGGGTAATCGCCTCGCCAGTCTTGCCAGCACGGCCGGTACGTCCAATTCTGTGAACGTAATCCTCAATCGTCAAGGGGAACTGCAAAAGAGTTAGTTTGAGTGGTCGATAGCGACGTTCAAAAACACAAGAGACTCACAGTCACGTTGACAACCAGCTTGACCTCGGGGATATCCAAGCCACGGGCAGCCACATCAGTAGCGACCAGCACGGGCGTGGTACCAGCCTTGAAAGCCTCCAAACTCCTCGTGCGCTGCTCCTGGCGCAGGTCGCCGTGGATACCACCGACGCGGATGCCGCGCTGCTGCAAAAAGGTCTCGACACGCGTGGCCTCCTTCTTGTACAGACAGAACACCAGGATACGATCGTCCTTCTTGGCGCCCGTCTGCCACTGCTTCAGGATCTGCAGCAGCCTCTGCTCCTTGGCGCGCGGGTCGACGACCTCGACGCGCTGCGTGATGCGTGTGTTGGCCTGCAGCTCGACAGCGCCGTTGGCCGTCTCCTTACCGCTCGAGCCGATGGTGATCTTGACGGGGTCGACCATGAAGGACTCGGCGAGCTTGCGGACCGACGCGGGCCAGGTGGCGGTGAACATGACCGTCTGGCGCTGCTCGCGCGGCGGCATGTCGCCGAGGATGAGCTTGATGTCCTCCTCGAACCCCTTGTCCAGCATGCGGTCGGCCTCGTCGAGGACGGCGAATTTCACCTGGCTGAGGGAGATGGTGCCGTCCTGCATGAAATCCTTGAGGCGACCGGGCGTGGCGACGATGACGTCGGCGCCGCGGTTCAGGAGGTTGCGCTGCTCGTCCTTGGAGGCGCCGCCGTAGATGCAGATGCTCTTGAGGCCGAGCAGGCTGGACACGTGCTCCATCTGCTCCTGGGTCTGCATGGCCAGCTCGCGGGTCGGGGAGACGACGACGGCCTTGATGCCGCGCTTCTTAATCTTGGAGATGCCCTCGACGAGCGGCAGGGCGAACGCCATGGTCTTTCCGGAGCCCGTCTCGGCGACGCCGATGACGTCCCGGCGGGAGAGGGTGTAGGGCCACGAGGCAGACTGGATCGGCGTGGGCTTCTTGTAGGCGGAAAACGGGTTCTTCTTGACGAGGTCGGTCTTGGGGAGGTGGGCGAACTCGAGGATGGAGCGGAGGGCGGCGTTGCTTGTTATCGGGTCGGTGACGGTGATGTTCTCGGCGGCCAGGAAGGCGTCGAGGTCCGATTGGGGCAGGGCCTTGAGCGCCGCGACCTCCTCGTAGCCACCGAGGATGGAGGCGGTGGGAGTGGAAGCGGTGGCGGCAGCGGCGGCGGCGGGAGCTGCGGATGTGCCGTTGCTCTCGGCCTCCTTGGCCTCCTTCTCTTTCCTCTTCTTGTCCTTCTTTTCCTTTTTGAGTCTCTTCCTCTCGGCCTTGTCCTCCTCGGTCTCCTCCTTGGACTCAGTGGCAGCGGCCGGAGCCTCCTCTTCCTCTACTTCAGCAGCCTTGGCCTTCTTTTCCTTCTTGCGCTCCTTCTTCTCCTTCTTTTCCTTCTTCCTCTGCTTCTTCAGCTCCGCCGCCTCATCGCTGTCGACATCGCCACCCGCGGCGAGGTCCTTCTTCTGCTTCTTGCTGGTGACACTGCCCTCGGCCTCGGTGTCGGCGAGGGAGCGCTTCGTGGCGGCCATTGTTGCGGTGGTTGTAACGGGGATTGACGCAACAATTGATTTGTAGGGAAATTTGCCGTGAGAAGCAAAGACTCTTGGGGAGGTTTCGGTCAGGTCGCAAATCTCAAAGGGCGGGAAGAGGGAAAAAAAAAAAAAAAGAATTTTGTTTATCGATAGGCTGATAACGGTGCTCCCGCAATGCGACACGATAAGGCGATAAGGCGCCGAGTATCAGATAAACGGAGGACCCTGCGCTAAGCCGATCTCGGCCAATGGTCTCCACTGGCCCAAGCCGTTCCAGAATCGGAGGCCCAGGACCCACTCCGGCCCTTCACACTCCAGGATGGCTCCACCACCCCCCGCCTTACACGTCCGCTTCACTCGACAGCTTCCCCTCACGTCCGCCCACCTCAGATGCCAGCTGTCGCCCTCGTCCAAAGACGGGAACGCTGTTGCCTGAGCCTCTCAGTCTGCAAAGTATTCCTTCAGACGTTTCCTTCACATGCGGCAAAGTGCTAATGCGAACGGCTGCATGATGCCCCTGGCTAAGGAACATATAGCGACGGCTGGGCTTGGTCAGCTTACAGCACTCATTTGGATGAGATGAGGTACTTTCGTCACTGCCATCGTCTCTCGTTCAAGTGAACAAGACAAAGTTTAGAAAATCAACGGATACAGCTATGCTCAATAAGTCTTGTAAGTGGATACAGTAGCCTACGGCGTCGGGGGCATCCCAGGAGAAGAAGCAAGTGAGGCCCAACAGCACGACGTTGATAGACGGCACCTAGGAGTACACACCAGCGGGCCACAAAAAGGTCGGGTTCCGGCCGCGGGCATCGCGGCCAAACACAACCAACCAATAAGTCACCCTTGGCGTCAGCAAGACGGCCCAACCCTGCAAAAACGGGAGCTAAGCATCTTCTGCTTCTTTTCTTCGAGGCATTTCTGCAGCCAGCTAGCAAGGAGACTACGTACAGATCTGTCGTTCAACCCTGCGGCATCCCGTTCCCCTCCCAATGGGGTTCATCGTGGTGCCACATGGGGGCATGACGGTCGAGTATCAACCACGCCGCGGGGGACGGGGGTGACAAGGGGACGAGGGGGGCGGGAGAGCACATCATACTGCAAGAGGCAGTCCGTCCAGGGTCCAGCCATTGGCGATGTGCTTCGTCACGCACAGCTGACTGCGGCGTTGACCCTTGTAACTGCCTTTCTTGATAGCTGCCCACGTTGCATGTCTACGCTGGCAATGCGGTCTTGTAGAAGAGGACGTCGGTAAGATGCAGAGCGGGAGATGAGAGGCGAGAGAGACAGAAGCATAAAAGGTATGGGAGGATGGCATACCTCGACAGAGGGCCACCTCCCTGCTGCTGCCCCTTTCTTACCCCACGCCTTCAACATCAGCTACACATCCAGCCATGACAAGCTGCGAGGTGCAGGGCCAGCCCGACCTCTACGGACTGGGCATCCGCGTCGCCTTTTACATTCAATGGTTCGGCGCCATCGTGATAGAGTACCTCGATATGGCAGACCTCCCCGACATACGCCTCATAGGCCTCCTCTTCTCCGCCGCAGCCTTCCTCGGCCTCGTCATACGGCTCTCCGTCGCGGCGGGGAGCGTACAGCCGGCCGACGTCTACATAGTCCTCCTGCTCGCCATGGGCATCTACATCCCCCTGGTCCCGCTCTACCTCTGGAAGGCGGTGACGTGCTTCAACCGATACTGGGATCCGTTCCGCTGGTCCAAGGAGACGCCGAGCCCGGCGTACAAGGGGCTCAATTTCGCGTTGTTGCTGGCTATTTCGTCGCTGGGCGTGTGGTATTGGTGTTCTTTTGCGCCGGAGAATGATTGTTCTCGGGAGCAGTATGGGTTCTTCTTCAGCCGGGTGAGTTTGGGGAATAAGGCGTTTGTGGCGTTTAATGCCATCATGTACTTTATCATTCTGTTTGTGTGTTTGCTCGTCCTCCTGCTCAAGGTCGGCTGGAAAGTGCCGTTTTGGAGGGAGAGGCGGAAGAAGCGGAGAGTCAAGTAAGTGACCACCCTTACTCAAAGATGAAAGAGGTTTGTGACTAATGTTGCTTCCTGTCTAGGAGAATGCACATCATGGCAATCAAGGAGATGAAGACGCTGAGCAACGTCGCCGTCGCCGCGACACTCACTGCAGCAGTTGAGCTGGCCGTCGTCTGGAATAACATCTCCAACGTGAACAACGTCGCGGACGTGGCGCAGGTCTTGCCTCTGCTCGTCAGCGCCGGCTTCCTAGTCCGGATCCTCTTCCTTCATTTCGCGGGCGTAAGAGACGGGTCAGATTCGTCAGAGGAGGATAGTGATGGTGGTTCGCATAGTTACATGACAGAGTCTCAGGGCGGGTTACCGCCGGCACCGCCGCCTGTCCATCCGCGATGACCGCGCAGTGGCTGTGATTGTTGGATGTGTTGGGTGATGATTGGGACGGGAGGTGTACGTTATCATTTCTGTATACCAAGCTAGCAAGACTTATTTTATCACTTTCGTCAGAGAGTATGAGGTTTCTGAGGTTTCTTTCCAGAAACATCCACAGAGTCTCGGAATGATACTGCTGATATGAAGTCCAGATAATAAAATACGTCAAGGTCTAAGAAATTCCAGTTTATGATCATCCATCCAAGACAATGCCATCTTATAGGCCGGTCATACTCTTTTCTACAACGCCCCTCCAATCTCATGATACAACTCATCATGACAGCCAGCTCGACCGCCATATACTCAACTCTCAACCTTGCCCATCCACTCAGGAACACTCGTAACCCTCCCCATCTCATCCACAGTCTCATCCCACAACATACTCTGCAACCTCCAACTCTCATCTGAAACAGCAAAGCCCTCTGGCCTATACATCACTGTCAGTTAAACCATAGCAAACCACTAAAAGAAAAAGACTCACTCCCAAATCTCCTTATCCCCCAACGTCTTCCCATGCGTCTCCCCGCCCGCGACAGCAACAGCATGAAGTCCAATCCACCCAGCCACCTCCGGCCTCCTCGCCCTCACAGCCTTCACGGCATCAGCGATGAGGCGGAACGGCTGCGGGAGAACATTGCTCATATTCGTATCCACCATCCCGGGACAAAATGCGTTTACGATAACCCGCTGCTGCCGCCGCCGTTCTCCTTCTTCAGTACTAGTCGCAGCACCGGCACCATAATGCCTCGCCAGCTCCTGCAGAAACAGGAACCCGAGCAGCTTACTATCCGCATACCGCGCCATACCAACAAAATTCGCCTCATCGTCAAGGTGCCCGAGAACAGACTCCCCCTCTCGAACAGGAGCTTTCTCCGCCAGGCTCGTCTTCCCAATCATCCGGCTCCCCGTCCACGCAAGCCTCCCAATCCTCCCCGTCTCCCGCGCCGTAGCCTCCAACACGGGGAGCAACTCGAGCGTAAGCAGCACGTTGGAGAGATAATTCACCTGCACAGTCGCTTCGTGGCCCGTGGGCGCCACGCGGCGTCGCAAGCCCGGCACGCCGGCGTTGAGCATCGCGATGTGAAGGCGCGTGTACTTCGCCTTGAATGCTTCCGTAAAGGCCTTGACGCTGGCGTAGTCTTCTACGTCCAGCTTCATCACCTCCACGACGGGAGTCTGGTGGCGAGAGAGGACGGTTGGGTCGGAGAGGAGTGTTTGTCGTATCGCTTCGCCCTTGGGTACGTCGCGGACGGCGAGGATGACGGGGGATGCGCCGAGGGAGAGGAGTTGGCGGGTTAGCGCGAGCCCAATGCCTGATGTTGCGCCTGTTACTATCGCTGTCTGGCCGTGGAGGTTTAGGTCGTCGGGAAGGGGTGTGACTGGAGGCTGGAATAGAGGCATGTTGGGGCGAGATTAGGATGATAATGTTTGAATTGCTTCCAAATAATCTTTCTTGTCTATCGTATTGCTCCCCCATTAAAGACCAGCGAACGGCCCATCGAATTTATGAAGCCATCGCCAACGTGCCATCTCCACACGTTCAATCTCAGCTCCGCCAAATCCTCAGACGCTCTCAGCATTTCAAAGTCCGCCGTCATTTGCTCTTTTCCTAATCATCATGATTTGCAAAGGATATTGTCGTGGAGGATTTCGCGGATTTGGGATTCGTCGCAGTTGGCTTGCGGCGCAATTAGTCATCTTAAAAGTCGCCGACTTACTCAATCAGCAATACGATTGCTCTTTAGCAGCCGGGGGAGCGGAGGCGGGGCATTGCATGAGCTGCCGGAGCCTGGACTTCCAGAATCCTGTCGACAATCGACATCACGACGAGAAGTCTCCGAGGACATGCCGAAGCCCGATGGGTCGGGTCTAAAGCCGGTCTTCGGCTCACATACCGTCAGCCGGTTCCGGGGGTCAAGTGACTCAGCACTTCCCACTGGCCACGAGAGTGGGAGAATCAAGACCAAGACCTGCTCTCACTGATATGCCCTCTTATCGCGAATGAGGACGATGGGGACCCGTGTGGTGTTTGTTGGCCACCGACGTTGCCCGCATGATAACAGCTGGGTTGGATCCTTGCGGATGCAATCCCGAGGTCAGCCCAGCCCCGCTCCCTCATTCTGAGAGCTGCGCAATTCGCACACTCAGTCACACCGCGCGATGCTCCTTGCAGAGGGCCAACACCTCATAACCCGGTTCAAGTTGAAGCATTGAAGGTGCACAGGTGGCAGGACAACGTCGTTCTCTGGCATTTTCGTCTCTGTCGGGTCGCTGATAAGCTGGCCACTAACTAAATGGTATTCTCGACACTGACGTACAATCAACCCTGCCCTTAAAGATCCTTTGATAGACATGAAAAAGGCCTGTTTCGCGGCAGCATCGACGCTTCGTGTAGCGACTGCGGTCGCTGTAGAGGAGCTCTCATCCCATACAAGCCCTGCGGAAAATAAAGACAGCCATAATTTCCTTCCCAAACTCCGGATTTTGTTGAAAAAAGTCGATGAACAAGACGGCGATAAATCTCGTTTTGTTGGCAAAGTCTGCCTCTGCCCTTGCCCTGCCCTCTAGGCCTCCACCCGGGGACGTCTCCTCTTCACTCCCCTAAGCCGAACTCCAATGACGTATGACGAAAGAAAGGTATCATCGAGAAGTGTTGTTTATGCGGAAGCGGAAGCGGCGGACTCGGCCTTGGCCTCGGTGCCGGCCAGGTTGGTGGGCTTCGCGTTGGGGTTCTTGGTGTAGTAGTCGGAAATGGCGGCCTTGATGGCGTCCTCGGCAAGCATGCTGCAGTGGAGCTACGTTGTGTTAGTCACGACGACAAAAGAAGAGAAGGCGCTCTCTTGTTCACATACCTTGACGGGGGGGAGCTTGAGCTCCTGGGCAATCTCGGTGTTCTTGACGCGGCCGGCCTGCTCCAAGCTGTGCGGTAGGTTAGCATCAATGCAAGCAATACACCTGGGAAAGGGTCACTCACGTCATTCCCCGGACAAGCTCGGTAAGGTAGCTGGAGGACGCGATGGCAGATCCGCAGCCGAAAGTCTTGAACTTGACGTCGGAGATGACGTTGGTCTTGGGGTCGACACGGATGTTGAGCCTGGCGAATTTGTCAGCGATTGTACTATGATAGCAAAAAAGGCATGATTATAGATGTCGCAAGAGGCCGGATGAAGTGCGTCGGGTCGAAGAGTGTGAAGGGCGAGGCAGCGCATGGTGTTTGAGACTCAAGTGCACGCCGCTGCCACAAACCCAGCGTCCCAAACGATGATATTGTGATATTGAGGATATGAATCGTGGGATGGCTTACTTCATGACATCGCCGCAAGCGGGGGCACCGACGAGACCTTGACCGACGTCCTGGTCGCCCTTGGGCATCGAGCCGACATTACGGGGGCGGGAGTAGCTGTACACGTCCAGGTTAGCCCTCTGCGTCTTCCAAATAAGATATCCGGGGTGGCATACTGGTCAAGGACCTTCTCGTGGTATCCTCTCGTGGCGCCGACAGTGACAGCAGGTGCAAGCTGGCGGGCGGGAAGGGTAGAAGGGCGGACAGAGGTCGTAAGGACCCTGCGAGAGGCGACGCGGAGAGATCTGGAGAACATTTTGGAGGAGTTTCGGACCAGTGGTTTTTCAAAGAGGTGCAGGTCGATGAATATGGAACTTGAGCAGCTTAAATCGATACGAGCGTAGTCGCAAGGGTCGATTGAGGGTATCGTTGATGAGTCGAGATGGTGATGGCGACAAAAGGTGGTCGATATAGCAAATTGCGTTTGGCAAAAGATCGAGGTGTTGAGGGGGGCAGACTTGGAGGGAGGCGAGAAGTTCTTTGGGAGGATAAATGGAAAATGGAAATTATTACGGAGTAGAGAGAAGGCCTGCGGGACTTGTGACGGAGAACGATGGCGATCTCGGGGGTAGCAGAAGCCGACAGGCCAATGGGAGCGTTCAATGACCATGCATTAAGTCATGGACAGTGGTCGGCCACTGGTCCCCAAGCACCTAGGTACCTTGCCTCCACTACCTAAGGTGCCTATACTATCTTGGGCTTTAGCATGCAGTCACAGTAGTCACAGCAGTGGACGGGGATGACGGGTGAGGATGGATGGCTCGGCGCCTCGGAGAAGACATTTTTTCATCCGCCTCCACAGCGCCGAGGGTCCCAGCCTTTAATCCGCTCCAAGGTTCCCTTCCTTCTTTAGTGTCTCTTTTTCAGCGTGTCAGAATGTCAGAGCTGCAGACCTGCCCGTTATCTGATCCACTTCCTCAAGCAAAGAAAAGATCTGATTGGCCGGGATGATGCCGTGTTTCCTCGGCACAGCAAGAACGCACCGCACCCAGGACTTTGGTGACTATGGCGACTTTGGTCCCGTCCTCTTGCCGTCCACGTCGTTGACCTTGCCTTATCGGACCCACAGTACGGAGTACTTGGGTAAGCTAAGCTATCAGATGCAGGTGACCAGCTGGCAAAGTGAGAAACCATCAACTTACCAGCTCTGCATGCTCCAAGTGGAGACAACTGGATGGGGGTTTTGACGGGGCTTGACGGGGCGGCAACAATTTGTCATGGTTCTTCACCGTTCTCGCCAGCGAAAGAGATTCAATCTGATTAGATACGCAAGCCACCTCCGTGCTCGCTGGAACTTACTCCGCATCTCTCTTACCTAAGGCATCTCAGGTAGGTTTGACGCATTTGTACATGTCCGCTTCCAATGGAAGCCTAAGTCCGGGGAAACCGCTTACATGCATTTCACCACATCAAGTGGCGACGCATATGTATCTACATTGACCACTTGCCACGGACATGCATATAAGGCAAAACATGCCTTTAATCCATCTACACTTCCCTCAAGCTTCCCCACTCCACTACGTAATCCTCAAAATCTGAGGTGCACGCCACACTGTGCCCCCTCCAAAGCTGAGCTAATGCCACCTACCTACCACTGTCACCCTAGGGAAGCTGCCAAAGTAAGTTCAGGCACCAGGTCCCTGTAACTCCAACGCGGGGCACTCAGTCCGACACCACATCCACCACCACCACCAACACTGCCCTCGCCTGCATCAGCTTGAGCACGAGCACACCTCAGCCTTTCACCTCGTTGCTAAGCTCTCGGCTGTCGCATCCCGTTGGCTGCCTGTTTTTGTCTCTGATCCCAACTGCGAGGCTGAACGCAACTCACCTCAGATTCAAAACGATTTCATTGTCTGTGTCTCTCTCCCAGCTCTTCACACCTTCGGATTCGCCGTCCACCCCACACAAGATACCTTACCTCAGAGACGACAACCTCGACCTGGAAGCCTTCTGGTATCGCTCCCACCATGGCGTGCCCGCATCTTGAGTCCATAGTTGCAGGTAAGTCTCCCCGAGCTCATTTTCCGAACTCTTAGCTCTGTTCAGTATTATGACGCTGACTGTTTTCTCCCCAGCCCTTCAGCCGCCTGCACCTCACAACTCCGTCTACCGGGAAGACTGCACCCAGTGCTTCGACTCCATCGTGCGCCTTGCCCATGAACCTCTTGCTTCTGGTTCTTGCTGATCCCTTTGCCCAGGACGATCCTGCCGGTGTCGATGTTTGCCTCCAGTGCTTCAACGGTGGTTGTGCCGGTGACCGCAACCATGCCCAGCTCCACCGACAGCTCTGGAGCCACCCGCTCGTTATCAATATTCGCCGCACCCGCAAAGTCGTTGTCCGAGACGAACCCCCCTTAAAGATGTCCAAACTCGCCATCGCCGCCGAGACCGAGGCCGACCGATACGATACTACAACCACTGTCAAGTGCCTTGAGTGCAACCAGGACTTGGACAAGACGAGCGACAAACTTGCCCCCATTGTGGACGGCATCATGAAGGCCAATACCTTTTCGAGGAAAGAAGAGGTCAAAGCGTGGGAGCAGGAGCTTACGAGTTGCGAGCACATCCTGCTCATGCAGCAGACCGAGCCAAGAGCCATTCAGTCTGGTGATCTCGGACACTGCTCCGCCTGTGATCTGCACGAGAACCTGTGGCTCTGCTTGGAGTGTGGAAATCTGGGCTGTGGACGGAAGCAAATGGGAGGTGTCGACGGTAACTCTCACGCCCTCGCCCATTCGGACCAGTCCGGCCATGGCGTCGCCGTCAAGCTTGGGTCCATCACCCCCGAGGGAACGGCCGACGTCTACTGCTACAAGTGCGACGAAGAGCGCATCGACGGCGATCTAGGCCAGCACCTGGGACACTGGGGCATCAACCTGGCGAACCAGCAAAAGACGGAAAAGAGCTTGACCGAGATGCAGATTGAACAGAACCTGCGCTGGGACTTTAGCATGACAACAGAAGACGGCAAGGAGCTTAAGCCTCTGTTTGGCGCTGGATTGACCGGCCTCAAGAACCTTGGCAACAGCTGTTATCTTGCCAGCATCGTCCAGTGTCTCTTTGACACTCCTGCCTTCAAGAATCGCTACTACTTGCCCAGCCGCGACCTGCCTACTGTCCAGGAGCCTGCGGCAGATTTGGAGACCCAGCTCCGCAAGGTTGCTGACGGCTTGCTCTCAGGCCGGTACTCGAAGCCCGACTCAGACGTGACTGCATCGGAGCACTCGCCCGAGATTTCGCACCAAAAGGGGTTGGCCCCGGCCATGTTGAAGCACCTGATTGGAAGAGGTCACGAAGAGTTCTCGACTATGCGGCAGCAGGATGCTTTCGAGTTGCTGCAGCACATCTTCAAGCTCGTCACTCGGTCCCAGCATCCCTCCGATCTCGGCGACCCGACCCAGCCGTTCCGATTCACTCTGGAGCAGCGGCTGCAGTGCCTGGGATGCAAGAAGGTGCGGTATTCGAATAATGAGCAGGACAACATCTTCATCGACGTTCCTCTGGAGAAGGAACCAACTGTCGAGGGCGAGGAAACCAAGGCAAACGCCTATAAGGCCGTAACTCTCAAGCAGTGTCTCGATAACTTCACGGCTGAGGAGGTTGTTGAGCTGACTTGCTCTGCATGTGGCAGCAAGGATGGCTACACCAAGCGCTCCTTGTTCAAGACTCTTCCCGAGAATCTGGTCGTCAATGCCCGCAAGATGGCAGTCATCAACTGGGTCCCTGTTAAGCTTGACGTACCCGTCATTGTTCCCGACGAGCCCTTCCTCCTCGACGACTATCTTTCCAAGGGTCTGCAGTCCTCCGAAGAGACCCTTCCCGATGAGCCCGAGGCCAGCGCCCCGGCTTTCGTTGCCAACCCGGAGGCTGTCAGCCAGCTGGAGGCCATGGGCTTCGGACGCAACCGCTGCGAGCGGGCATTGCATGCCACTGGCAACTCGGATGCCAACGCTGCCATGGAGTGGCTGTTTGGCCACATGGAGGACCCCGACATTGACGATCCGCTCGTTTTGAGTGGTAGTGGCGGTGCCGGGGGAGCTGGAGGAGCATCGGCGGACCCGGAAAAGATTGAGATGCTCGGCGCCATGGGCTTCTCGGTCCCTCAAGCAAAGAAGGCTCTACGCGAGACTAACGGTGACGTGGAGCGAGCTGTCGAGTGGCTCTTTAGCCATCCCGAGGACCAGGGCATCTTTGAAGACGAAGCCCCAGCCGCCGGAGCCGATCCTGCTGCTCCCAAAGCGGACGCCGGCAGCGCCGCTACCCCTGCAAAGTACCAGCTCCAGTCTATTGCTTGCCACAAGGGCACAAGTATCCATGCTGGGTATGCTGATAATGCTTATTCCTCGTAGACTGATTTTGAGAGTTTGCTAACATTGTTCATAGTCATTACGTCGCCTTCGTTCGCAAGGAGGTCAACAGCCAGCCCACTTGGGTCCTCTTCAACGATGAAAAGGTTGTCGAGGCAGGCGAGATTGAGGAGATGAGAAAGTTTGCCTATGTCTACTTCTTCAAGCGTGTTTAGGTGGATTTGGGGGCGTAACAAAGAATGGCGTTTCGGTTTCGGAGAGGTGTGACGACGAAAAAAAATCATGCCAGGCTCAATCAGTGCTGCGCAACTTCATGACGGCGGTAGTGGGAAAGGGCCACGGATGCATCTGATGGGATTCGGATGATTGCATTACAGCATAGGCGGGCGGTGGTTTACTGTGGAGATGAGAGACGAGGCAATGCATAGTGAGTGAGTGGTTTAGAAAAAGGGAGACTTGAGGCTAGTCATTTAGCCATCCATTGTGAAGATGAACCTTTTCAGACTGAAATCTGCCTGTGTTTTCTGTCTTTCTCCCATAAGTGGTCATCGTGCCATAGAAAACCAAGGTACCCAAACGCCGCGACGCCGCACAAACATCATATTACATACACACAGACTTCCATACTGTACTTTTCTCCCACTTGGCCCATGAACCTTTTGGCGTCCACCAAGCAAGTCGTGACCACGCATCATACACCGAGCCAGCCCGCCCACGCGAGACTTGCCGAATTCTACTCCGCCAAGCGGTAGCTGACGAGGGTGTCAACACGGTGATTGCTGGTGCTGAACCCACGCAGCTGGACGCGCTCGCCGTTGACAATCTCTTTGGCGTCGCTGTCGCCCCACTCGACGGGCACCTCGGAGTCGGCGTCGGCGTACACGAGGACGTTGAACGTGCAGTCTCCATTGAGCTGGGGGAGGAACGTGACGGAGGCGGTGATTTGGCGGAAGATGGCGGCGATTTCGGATTGGATTTCTTGTTCCGTCTTTTCGGGGGTCGCGTCCTCTGCGGTGGCGGGGGATGCGTTTTCTTGGTCTGTTGGTTTTGAGGAGGAGGAGGATGATTTGGAGGACGAGGTCTTTGAGGATTTGGACTTTGAGGGGCGGCCAAAGATTTCGACGTCGAATTGCCAGCGTTCGACGTGTTCGCCTGTGTCCTTGTCTGTGATTACGATGACGAGCTTGGAGATTTTGCCGCGGAGCATCCAGCGGTCTAGTTGGGACATGATCTTTTTGATGTAGGCTCGGACTTGGTCGTCGGAGGAGACTGGAGGGGGGAAACATGCTGTTAGCTCATGGGGGATCTTTGCTGGATATGAGAGTTGGCGAGATAGTGCGATGATCGTGTCGGCGGGATGGGATATGAGGAAGGCGAACCTAGCATGTTGAGACCATATTTCTTGACGCTGTAGAGGATGTGTGGTCAGTCTCTGTCTGTCGCGGGACAGGGTGAGGAGAATCATGCTAGACGTACGCGGAGAAGTCTTCTGCTGGATAGACACCTCGTTGGAAGCTGTTCGGGAGGACATGTCAGTACTCGAATCGGCGCAGCAAGTTTAGAGGGACCCAGGTTCGTACAGGATGGTGTGTATCGAGTATTGAAACTGCAGGGATGAGTTAGCTCGGAGCCGTCAATTGGCAGTGGCAACCCGGTAAATGGAGGAAATAGACTGACGAATTCGGCCACGAGCTTTGCGCTGCCCTTGAGGGCGAGCTTGTGCACCTTGGACTTGTCCTCCTTGTCTGACTTGTCGGTCTTGCTAGCCTTGCTGGCTTTGGCGGGTTTGGCGTCGGGGGCCATCGTGATAGAATTCGGGGTACCGATTGACGGCTTCGATTGATGGTCCTGGTATCGGTGTCGGTGTCGGTGTCGTCGGACGGAGGAGGTGATGATGGATCCGGGAGGCAGCGTAATCGGGGAGGAGGAAATCGGAGAGTTTGTTTACTTTCGGGGATTGAGATTGAGATTTGGGATTGATTTTTGGGGGTTTGGTTGCGGGGTGATTTAGGTGCAGCCAGCGCTGGCTGTCATTGCTCGCGACTGATTGCCCCGCCGCCTGGGCCGTCCGGGGGTCGAAGCTCCCGGCAGTCCACCTGGGTACGTATCTTGACAAGGTGCACCCTTCACCTCACCTCACCTCACCTCACCTTGCCTTACTTTACCTCACCTTACTTTACCTTATCTTGGCCTCTAAATACACACATAGAGGCCCTCCAGTCGGAAGAGACATTACTTCTAGATGACAAAAACCTATCATCAAACAAGAGTGAGCCTACGACGAATTGATGGCATTGTTTTGCTACCAATCTGTTTACACTTACATCAATGAATCAATGAATTGGCTGCGACGGACTGACTTGATGCCAATCATCACAACGTACCTCACTGTCTCTCTTTGACTAAATGTACACATGACTTTTGTACATGATGACCAACTTACATCATTATGTTATTACAGCATTGATCCCGCCAAAACATGCCCCTTACTCGCCATTCCCATACCCCTGAATGGCATCAAAGAACTGCGCAGACCACGCCATCGAGTCCACAATTTCCGCCGGCCACTGACCCGGCGCCAACGGAGCGACACCCATACCAAGCATTCCCATATCCTGCGCAGTAGCAGAGTCCGGCATCCCGCTCAACGCACCCATCTCCACCGGCGATAGCATCGCCTGCTGCGCCTGATGTTGCGCCTGCATCGAGCTGTTCGGCACATGCTGTTGCTGCTGATGCTGTTGCTGCGGCGGCATCTCAGCGAATACCGCCGGCCGAGGCGGATTCTTGCTCTTCCAGTCGATGCCGCACTCCTTGAGCCCTTTCAACATGTCCCGCGCGCTCTTGGCGCTCGATGAGTTACAGCTCAAAGCCTCAAACATCTTGAGACACGTCTCCGCGTCGTCCGACAGCCCCTCGGTGTCAAAGACGGCCTCATCCTCCGCCATGGGCTGCGTAAACGTGCTGGATATCAACAGGATGGAGCTCGCGCACAAGAGACACGAAATCATTTGCCACCAGGGGAAGTCATGGACCAGGTCCTTTTCGCTCGAAACGCCGTGCAGCAGCCGCGCCGTCTCCCGCGCCTCGGCGACGCATGTCTTTTCGGATATGCTGACGAGATGCCAGTCTACCTCGGAGAGTGTGGAGGATGTGTCGTCGAGGCCGCGGAGAAGGGGGTAGCATAGGTATGGCCGGTGGAGAAGAGCCCGCAGATGGTGGAACTTGACTGCGAGTATGTTCCGCTAGTGATCGTTAGCACTACGATCAAGTTCGCATATACAGCGCAGACCACATCAGCAGAAACTTACCTGTCTCTTGAATGCAAAGTTCTGGTCAAAGGCATGCCCGAGATCAAATCGCAAACGTCGCGGGAGCTTCGACTTCCAATCCACAAGCTGGCGATCCAGTTCCCTCGTCCGGAGGGCACCCGCAGAGGTGAGCTGCGAGTGCCTCGGCCCAAAAACATCCCGCAGCGCGCGGCCCAGAATCTGCGAGAAGCCAATGACGGCGAGGAAGTAGTCCCCGCCCGACGTCTCCTCGACCGGTGGCTCCATGTGTGTGGCCTCCCAGTCAATCTCCGAGTCGGCACGCCGCGAAGGGAGCGGTACATTGAAGTCGTCTTCGTGTACGGCCGCGGGGCGGCCCAGCTGGAGGGAGAGGAGACGGTCCAGGACGTAGATCGAGTACCACACCCGGCGACGCGTCTCGGTTTCAACCGTGTGCCGGGGGTTGTTCTTGTCTTTCTCGACGTGCAGACCGATACCTTGCGCGATCCGGACGGCTTGGCCCAGGGTCATCCAGCAGCTGTGAATGTCAGATGTGTGCTTTGGGACATGTTGAGACAATGTAAAACAAACCTATCCGTCCGAGATACCGCGAGATAGTAGAAACATTGCGTCAGAAGCAGTGAGACCTGGTTGATTGACCGATCCGACGATGCCGTCGACGCAGCAAGAGCTAAAGCGCGCTGAAAGTAGACGCCGTGGAAATGTCGGGTATCCGAGTTCTTTTCCAGAAAAGACGTATAATATGAGCCAATGGCGCAGATTACATCTATGGGTTACCTTAGCCTCGTCTCATTTTCCTACTCCACGGCTCCCAGGAAGCTGATGAGAAAGGGGGCGCATGGTTCAAACTTACAATACAGAGCAGATTCCGTGCCCCCCAAACGATCACCGCCGTTGGGCGCCCCCCCTATCCTGTCACACAGCTTCGAGAAGGTGGACTGCGGTATGAAAGGGTATGCGAGGTGAATGGTTGCAAAGTACACGTCGGTGAACTTGCGCTCCTTTTCGGGTCCGGGAAGCTCCACCAGCCTCCCTCCTGCGGCGGCGCCGGCAAGCAGCGCGTCGCCGTCCTGTTCGTAGCTGTCAAAGTCGTGGTCCACCCCACCACTACTGCCGCCACCGCCGCCGCCGGGAGTGTCTTTGGTCTGGAGGATTCGCTTGATCACATTGAAGAAGTGCACGTCGCTGACCTCGCCCAAGTACCTCTGGCTAGGCTTGAGCGAAGGTGTTGGGGAAGGTTGGTAGTCGTGGTGGTTGTGCTGTCCACGGTCCACGTCCGGCGAGTATGACGGCGTCTCTGTCGAGGACGTCTTATTCACGGCCTGGTCAACTTGCGACTTGATGGAGTTGAGCTGCGTCTGGGCGTCTTGCTGCTGTTGCGCTGAGGGTAGCTGCGTGATGAGGCTCTGCACCAGAGCCTCATACTGATCTACGGCGATCTTAAGGGCGGCATGCATGTGCGCACCGGGGCCAGGGCCGGCCGAAGTACCTTCTGCGTCGGCATCTCCGTTGCCGGTGGCCTTTTCCCGTCGACGACGAGGTCGTCCTACTGAGTAGATGCAGTCGTAGCCATACCCGACGCATCTTCCACACTTTGGCTGTTTCCCGTCACACTATCGATATGTATGAGTAAGCTGTGAACACACAGGTCTAATATCAATGTGGAAGAAAGGGTATTAGAGACTTGGGTTGTTTAATCTCACTTTGGATTTCATGGATCGGCAGGTCTGGCAGGCCTTTGCGACCCGCTTACGCTTGTATACGGGTTCATCGTCGGCGGTATCTGACATTCTCTTGCAGAGGCGCGCGAAAGCCGACTTTCCCGAACAAAATAGCTGCAATAGTGTTTTCCCTTTCGAATGGGCGCAAATAAAGATATACAAGGGGGGTGTGGCGGATGAGAAGGGGGGGAAGAGTGTATTGTACGAGAGCAGTGGGCAGAATGACGTTGGGGAACGGGGCCGGTGATGCCGAGACTTCCGGTATTTCCGGCGGGTGTCAGTCCCTTATAACTTACCTATCTATTAGGTACTTTGGAACCTCGACCGCATTCTCGCTAGGGCCCAAGCCAAGCAAAAGGTCACCACTCACCTTAGCCAGCGCCAAGAAGAAACAACGCCCGGCTAAGGTATTAAAGGGTTGCGTCAAAGTGATGAATGAGGGGACCAGTTTCATCTGACCTGTCTGTGCCTGTCTTGTCTGTATCCCAGAAATGCGAATGTCCTTTGCTGACTGTGCATACATCTTTGCCAACGCAGAGACATACTAAAGCATGGAGCGTGTTTAGTAGGCAACTATTCATGAGGAACAAGAGTGCTTGACTGAATAGCCAAACTGAAATGAGAGGATAGATTTGTCACTCGCGCATAAGTACGTTTATGTCTAGTGTAGTCAATTCGGATAGCTTTATCACTATTTCCCACCTTTTACTCTTGTATGTTTGAGATAGGTAGCTTTCTGTAATAATCTTCCTCCGGTTCCCATTTACGACTTATGCAAGTCTTGTTTGCATAGCCACACGTATGGCAATGTTGGCACATGGATTAATGACTCAGGATGATCAAGCTTGGCCTTTTCTCACATCCCGGCATCTCTCTCTATCTCTCCCTATCGTCATTCTTAATCTCTTCGTGTTGGTTGGGACTGGTATCCATGACATAAACTCAAAGGCAATAGGATAGAGCATACCTAGGTTAGTCCAGGATAGGTGGCACATCATGGGTAACTATCCGACTTACAAGCCATGCATCACCTTGTTGGCTTTAGACCCGTCCACGTCTTACTCTTCAACCCCTTTGACCTTCTCTATACGATGAATAACATCACTTCCATCCGGACTCGTCTCAATCACCATGGCCGATAGCTCTCTACCATACGCACATCCAGAATCCAAACCAAACGCATACCTAGTCCATGGTCCTTGGGCCCCCTTCTCCTTGAGCGATTCCGGTACTTGGATGTCTGGTTCCACCTGCAACCCTTCCTTGGCGTCATGACCATACACGACAACCGAGCGATTCTCTGGCGTTTCGATCATGTTCTGCGTCTCGTTCCAAGCCTCTCTCCAGCGTTTCCCATCATCGAGTTCAATGGGAATGGTCCCCCTCTCCTGATTTGTTGCAATCTGTGAAATCTCGTTACCGTCCCACAGACGTAAGACTCGTGCGAGTTCGCCATCAAGTCTCTCGTCCTTTGCGACCTGAAACGCCGCACCCCGACACAGGCGGGTCTTGATCCTCTTCGCAAGAGCAACTGTAACGTTCTCCGGGTGGTCGCCGTCGATCGGATACACCAGGCTGCGCATGTTCATCACAGCCCAAGGATCTTGCTCCTCCATCGGTAGCAGCGGTACCAGACCACCATGCGCGACCACCGCAGTCCCAGAGTTCCAAGGGGGGCTCTTGGCGCCTTTGAGCGGTCCGATGTGCAAGATGAGAGGCAACGATGAGAGCCATTTGACCTGCTCCTCAGAAAGCTGCGTCGCAGTAACGTAGTCACTCGACACGGCGTACGGGACATCCGCCGGCAACTTCTCCTTGCTGTCTTCGAAAACCATCTTCCCGTCATCGCTCGTAGACCCAGTAACCCTGCCGCGCTCAATGAACCCACGCGCAACCAGCACGCGGTCCTCGTTGTTGCCTCTGACACAGCTGGCGCCAAGGTCCATCGCGAGCTGCACCACGCCCGCGCTGTCGGGGCCTTTGTTGACCAGATCGCCGGTGAAAGCTAGGTGGTCTCCCGCATCCTTGTCGAAGCCGACTTTGTCCAAGAGCTTTTGCAGCTGTGATGCTCGTCCGTGAACGTCGCCCACGATGACTAGCCTTCTCCGGTGAGCGCCGCGTTCTGCCGACGGCACGTATTTCGGGTCCAAGGTTTGGACAGTCTGTCGGAAATCATACTGGGATGTGGTGTGACTTGGTTCGAGAGTATTTTCGACCGGGTTCATCATCCTTGCGAAGTGTTGAGTGCGTTGAGAACAATCATTGTCTTCATGTGCGGGGATCAAAGATGGGTGGACCTGGCAGTAACGAATCAGAAGTGGAAGGAAGCACAAACAAAAAGAGAGCACCATATGCTGTAAGTCACCTCGCGCCTGCGGCTAATTTTCTTGCCGTTGATGTTCAACACATTAAACCGCCAACCTATCAAGCAGTCGACGGGATCAAATTGTGAAAGAGCTGGTTTTATACTTTATTTTTCTGCCCAAGGTTTAATGGTATAATTATACTGATGGCGTTCACGGCAACTCGACTTCCACACATACGATGATGTCAGCCCATATTTACCAAGGAGCGAATAGCAATTTTGTGGTTTGAAAGCCTACAAGATTAATGCCCAAGACCGTCCATCAGGATTGAAATTCCGTACCGAATACAAGTTGTTTTTGGAAGAGTCAAGATCATGCCTCTATAGGTCCTTGGTTCTGGGTTGATTACGGATCACAGGAATTATACATACTCTGCAAGTCTTCAGCAGCAAGCTATTGACCTTCCAAAGATGAAAACCTCAGTTCCTGCCAAGTCTCGCCAGTGGGTATGAATGAAGAGCTGTTTGTGAAAATATTTCGTGAGCAGGCTTTGCGATTCATAGAAGCTGCAGAGGCAGCCCGCTTGGCATAAAGCAATGTAGGATAGAGCGGGTATGCCGGCCTGGATTCAAGTATCTATTCACATGCTTCATGGTGAGGTAACAAACATTGATATCTTGACAACTTGATTGTATGGACCCTTAGTGAGTTATCTATCCCCAGAAGGAAGTCAGGACACTTCACATTCCACGTTGCCTATGTTACAAACATGCGGACGTAGTATCACAAGGCCACTTCTAAGAAATTACTTTGGAGAGAAGACTTGATTTTACAAGCCAGGATGCTTTTATGAATCGGGATGTATTAATCAAACTTTGAAAGGATGGAAGCCTTCAACCAATCCTCACAAGGAATAACTACAAATGATCAGTCTCAAGGCTGAATCTCGGCTTCTGAACCCCTTCGCCACGCCCGTCCTTGGGTACACCGCTCAAATTACGAGTATGCAGCCCGATTTCAAACTCCATCTTGTCCGTATCCTTCTTCGTCCAGCCCTCAACCGGTATATGTGTTCTGACCTCCAAATGATTCTGGCAATTCTTGCATCCAGATACGTGCCAACGACTTAACACGGCCTCTGTCCCAACCAGCACCTTTTCTCCGCTCTTCAACGTGGCCCAGGCGGAAACGACAAAGGAACCTCCGATGGCGGCGCGGTTGATGCCGCTGACGGTCAACACGGGACTCGGACCATGAGGCTCGCCGACCCTTGTCGGCGGGTCCGGAAAGTCGTATGCATAGCCTAGATCGGCGATATTGACCACATCTCTGGACGTCATCGCCTTGTCCGCACCGTGAGGGTTCCTGAACGGGTCGAGGGGGCTGTCGAGGGTAAGCCAGGTGCCGCCGGCCACACCGGGCGTCGGGCCCTGGTTATCGACGGAGTTGGTGCCGGGGTAGCCCTGGATGATTTCGAGTGAGTGTTCTTTGTTGTGCTTCTTCTGCCACCGCCAGAACATGAGGTCTATGAAGCAGTGGTGGAAGTAGAAGATTGGGTCAAAAGCGGCCGTGTCGTTCTCGCCCATGTCGCCGTTAGCGTCGCCAATTTGGTCAGAGTTGCTGCCAGGCAGGTCGAAACCACCGACGGCCAAGTGAATCAAGTTATGTGGGGATTCAAGGGGTGTGACGGACTTGAACCCCGGCTCTTGAAGGCCGTCGTCGTTCCATTGCTGCGCGGAAGTCGTATTGGAGAATACGGTGTAGTTGGGGGCGTCGAGGCAGTGGTAATACTTGTCCTTGACTCCGGCAGATTGCCTCTTCCCGTCGCTGTTCAAGAAAGAAGACTTGGTGAGCCATGTGGTAATGTTGTCATTGAGCATCTTGTTTGTGGCCTCTTCTCCCATCTCATGCAGCGAATTATTGTGAACCCAGGTCTTCTTCTTGTCCTTCGGGCCCACAAGCCCAGAGAAGGGGTAGCGGACGGTCTCATAGCCCACAGGCTTGGTGTAGTCGGCACCCTGGATAGGATCGAGCCTATCCCGGATTCTGGCCTGGAACGTGTACGAGAATAGTGGGTTGCAGATCTCCTTGCCAGTGTCGGAGAACTTATACTTTCTCTGCAAGAAGATGGGAGGAATGCCGTGCTCTAGGGACTCTTTTTCGGTCTCATCCCAGTATGGTAGAGCTACGCCAGCGACCTGGCTCTGAAGGGCTTTTTCGAGCCTCAAGAGGTAGCCGCGGTGCCAAGTTGGAAAGAGGACATTGCCGTGGTTGCAGTAGCCACCCCACCAAGCAGGGTTGGCGTATCCCGCTCCTCTGAAAGGCTCGCCATGGTAACCGGCAATAGTGAAGAAAGAGTTGGGGTCATGAGGGGGAAGCTTTTGGATGCCGTGGAATGCCTTGACAAGGTCGTCGAGCTCCTTTGTAGACAGCGTGCGGATGTTTTTTCTTGTAATTGTTCCGCCCATGTTGAGACTGTGATAAGGCACTCAATGATTTATCGGAAGAAGTGAGTTTGAAAAGTTGGGGAGCAAATTGACAGAGATTTCTTGTGAGAATGTGAGGCATTACCAAATAGATATAGCCGAAGGACGTCCAACCCTCATGTCGATACTAATTGCTGTGGTTTGGTACCGACCTCTCTAAAGATGTTTTCAGTCATTCACATTCAGCTTGATGAACCCAAAATGCCATGATGTGCCAACTTTGACGGATGCTGTTCGAACGAAATACGGATTGTATGCTAGCTAAATGCCACAGGTGATATTTCCCCGCATCTTTAATGAAGCCTAATCGACGCATATGGCTACCCGGCTTGCGTGGCTGGAAGCTGAAGTTTAGAGCCAGAAAGCTGAGAGAATGTCTCACCGTTGACGGCTTCCAAGCTTTCACCGGACCTTTCACACCTGTCACTGCCGCAG